AATAATGGCATAGAATTGAGAGCCCAGAAATACACCCATATGAGCCATTAATCTACCACAAATACACCGGGATACAATGGAGAAAGGAAAGTCTCTTCAACAAATGGTGTTGGGGAAACTGGGCTGCCACATGCAAAAGAATCTCACACCATACTCACACACCAACTCTGAATGGACTAAAGACTTGGATGTAGGACCTGAAACTTGGACGAAGCTACAAAGAAGACAACATGGCAAAACACCCCATGAATTGGCCTCAGGGCTGTCTCTGGGGACTGGACTCCAAGGCAAGGAAGCAAAAGCAAAAATAAACAAGGGGGGGCTCCCTCACTCAAAAGCTTCTGCACGGTGAAAGAAACGACCATTAAAATGAAGACGGCCTTAATGAATGGGAGAAAATATGTGCACATCAGAATTATCAATTTGGACTTTGTTCAGCTACAGATAAAAAAAGGAGACAGGGGAGTGGGCCAGTGAACTCTGCAGTGTGTGCGTGCACCACCCTGGGGACATGACGGGGCTCAGGTCCCTGCTGCTGCTGCCCCTGCTGCTGGGCTGGGCCATTGGCCACCCTGCCCCCGGGAGAAAGAACTTCAACAAGCTGCTGGTGATTTCCTTCGACGGCTTCCGCTGGGACTATGACCAGGACGTGGACACCCCCAACATGGACCTCCTGGTTAAGGAGGGTGTGAAGGCCAAGTACCTTTCGCCGCCGTTCGTTACGATGACCTCCCCATCCCACTTCACCACCATCACAGGTAAGCTCGCTCCCTGGGCTGAGAGCTGGCTGTCACACCCTGAGACAGGGGTGAGCTCCGGGCAGACCTCAGCAGCTCACACACCCCAGGATCACCCCTGGAAGAAGCACTAGCTCAGCCTCTCCCGAGATGACCAGGGCTGCTTCCAGAACCCCACCGGCTACAGAACCTGGGCCACAACCTCCTAAAGGATCTCTGATCCTCCATCCAATCCCCACCCAATGTCTGATAATCTTTGTTTTTTAAGTAAACCATTAGAATTTATTAAAGATAATAAAACAGTGGAGTTTAAAGAACTCAGTTGGATCAGGTAACTCCCCTGCTTAATACTAGAGAGCTGGAGGGACACCAGTTCTTCCCAAAGGGTATTCAGACATTGTCTCCTTGTAACCCAGAGGAGCCCCTGTATGTGTTGATGGCATGTGTGCTCATGTTTACACACATACGTGTGTGTGCATGAGGTGGTGTGTATAAATATGCATGATGCATGTATGTGTACACATGACGTGCCTTTATATGCACTTGCAATCTCTAGAGATTCGTCCAGAACAAGATCGATGAGACTGGTGACTCCATGGGGGCCTGGGAAGGAGACTTTGGACTGTGGGCCTGTGTCACCTTCTAGATCTGAGGCCATGCAGATGCATTCTGATCAATAACCAATGATGCAGCGTCAGAGAACCACTCTCTTTCACCCAAGTAGAAAAGGCATGAGCATGCGGCCCTCTTATTTCTAACGGGACCTGCCATCTGTCGCACTGGGTGCTCTGCCTCCACTGGAAAGCGGGTGTCTCGCCCTTGGCACTGCTGACCTCGGGGCCAGGTCTGTCTCTGGGGTGGGCACCCCATGCACTCTGCAGTGTTGGCAGCACCCCTGCCTTCTACCCACTGTGCAGAGAACCGCTCCTCCCTCTGTGATCAGATGTCCCCAGATGGCGCCGGGGGACAATTGGCCCCCACTGAGAACCACACTTCTGAGGCTGAACCTGGTACCTGGCTTATGAAAATGCTCAACAGGCACCACAGCTTCCTCCCCTTCAATTCTCCTAGCAGCCATTTAAAATAGGGCAGTTACCCTCTTGACGGTGGCACAGCCCAGGCTCACAGGACATGCGAAGCTGTCCCCAGCTGCCACACTCAGCCCTGGCTGGTTCCAGACCCCGGGCCCTCCACCCCTGCCACTAGCGTGCCCACAGCCCCCCAGTGTCTGGTTTAATTAAGGATCATTGCAAGCCCTTGTTATTCTGCCTATTCTCAGCACTTCTAGGCAATGGGGCTAAGCCTGAATATTCTGTATCACTGAAACAAAGGCCACCCAGGCCCAGAAAAGCCACTGGCATTGTCTTCATGAACTGGGCCCAATCAGCCCTCTGTCTGCCTCCATGTGAAAAGAAGCATTTCTATTTAATAGACAACATAGTGGATAAAAGTTGGTGTTGCCAATGCCTAAAGACCTCATCAGATTCCAGGGTCAGGCCTGGAATGATAAAAGTGACTATGATAAAATCTATGATAAAAGTGACTGTTGGACAATGACTAATGAATGGGTGTTTGTAGGAACACTCCTGGGCTGCTGAGCATGGGGAGGGAGGTGATGGGATATCATGGTGATACCCCACCCCTCCCAGCCGAGCCTCTGCCCAGAGTCCAGGGGGTGGCAGGCCAGCAGGTCTCAGGCAGGGAGCAAGGATGGGCGGGGCCCGGGCCAGGCACAAAGGTCCATGGGTCAGCGTCCCTCAGAATTAGCTGACTTGGCTGCCCAACATAAATGGAACGTGCTCCCGGACACTGGCAAGCTGGGAATTCTACCCACCACAAGGAGGGCATCCATGGGGCTCACATAACCAGGGAGCTAGCAGCAGTCTTTGTTTAAAGGCACAGGTAATGGTGTGGCACCCAGTGGGGAGCTCCAGAATGGCCCCAGGTCTAACCCCTGATCCCCAGGAGACCCTATCAGAGGGGCAACAAGTTTGTTCCCAGAGCAGACCAGTCTAGCAGATTGAGACAGGATCAGCCTTCCTTTGAGACTACCAGTGTTTGTGCCTCAAAAAAGTCCGAGGCCCAGAGGAACTAGGCCAGCCAGGATGGTGGCGGAGGTGGTCGTTAAGTGAGCGTCTGCTCCGGGGACATATCCACACAACCCCACTATACCCCCAGGTCGCTGGATTGAAGACCATGGAGTCATTCACAACATGATGTTTGACGCGGAGAAGGGCTGGAAGTTAGACTTCAAGACCACACAGAACAAGACTGAGTGGTGGGACAACGGGGTGCTGCCCCTCTGGATCACAGCACAGAGACAGGTACGTCACAGCCCCGGGGGCCGCTTCCAGCACCCCACCTCTCATTCTCATCCTCCTGTGGGTCAAAGCTCAGTGACCCTGGGCAGGTGGTGCAGCCTGTGTCAGTGTGAACTGCGGAGCATGACGGTGCTGACTTACTTAGCGGAGCTGATTGAAGATGAATGGAGATAGGCATGACGCAGTGGGCACGGAGACTCACCCGCTGGGTCTCAGCTGTTAAGGATGAGCGGGTCTCCACGAGATGGCACCTCCAGGGCCCCCCAGAGGCCTGCACCCAGCAGCCCTACAAGGTCTAATAAATTCCCGACTACGACTCAGGCACAGAAGCCTGAGGAATGAGGTTGACTGTTTAGCGCATCTTCGGACTGTGGAAAGCTCTGAAGAGAACTTTAGCTTGAAGGGTTCAGGGGCCATACATTATTGCTTTCAAAAGGCACAAATCAGAGTTAAACTGCCCGTCCCCAAAACTTTCTGGCTGTCTTTTTATTCCCACCACCATCCCTTATCTCCCTGACCCGTTCTCCCTCCCCCATGCCTCTTAAACTCAGGAGCCTCAACTTCATTTCACCATCACTTCATCTTCCGTATCCACTAGTTTTAATAATGACTTTGCTCTGTTGGCGCATCTGCTGGGGTTCCTTGTTCTATCACGTATATGAAAACGTCCAGTATTTGCCTGTGTCATTCTGACCTGCTTTACAACACAGAAATCCTTCGAACTCCTTCCATTTTGCTGTAACGATCACGTTCCGTCTTTCTTCGTGGGCTAATAGTATTCCACTGGGCGGGCAGACGCTTCTTTATCCAGTCCTGCCTGCGGCACTTCGGCCGTTCCCACGCCCTGGCTCCTGCAGACAGCGCCGCCAGAAACACTGCGGCCCCTGCGATATTCTAAGTTGATGCCTCCCCTTCTTTGGCTCGATGCCCAGGAGTGGGACTGCCAGATCACACGGTATTTCCATGAGGGTGGTAAGGTCAACCCAGACCCCTTCCCAAAACGGCGGCCCCAGGTTACATTCCCGCCAACAATGGAGCAGGGTCCTCTTCTCTGCACCCTCTCCCGCGTGCTGTGGGGTCTTAGCGTGTGTGTCATTCTCACATGTGTGAGATGAGATGACACCTCCTATGAAATGATGAACAATGAAGAGCAATGAAGAACATTTTTCCATACATATATCCATCCATTATCCTTATGGATCGCCGTTGGTGAATTGTCTATTCAGATCTGCTGCCCGTTTATCAATTAGGCTGTTTGGCTTTTTGTTGCTAAATTGAATGTGTGTTTTGTATATCTTGGATAGTACGTCTTGTCAGCACTGGAAGCTGTAAATTTTTTCTTCCATGCAGTATAATACGGTTTCAGTCTAGTTATGTATCTTTTTATGTACAAATCCTTTAATTTGAGGTAATCCCAATTGTTTATTTTTACTCCTATTCCTTTGTCATAGGGATCCAGTCTTTATCATTGAGGTCATGAATGTGTTTTCCTATATATATTTTCTTACTACGGCATTGTATCTATTTTGAAGTTTATATTCCATTGGGAGTTTATTTTTGTGTCTGGAGTTAGTGATCTAGCTTCATTCTTTTACATGTGGCTGTCTAGTTTTCCCCACACAATTGTTGAAGAAACTCTCCTTTGCCATTGTATGATTGTGACTCTTTTATCATGTTATAAGTATTGACTTTATTTCTGGGCTTTTGATTCTGTTCCATCAAACCATGTGTCTGTTTTGATTCCAATACCATGTCGACTTAATGACTGTTGCTTTATTGTATTGCTTAAGGTCAGGTAACACGATGCTCCCTTTCTCTTGTCTTGCTCAGGATTGTGCTTGCTATTCACCTTGTGTTTTTTTCTATGAGCTTTCAAAGTCATCACTTCAGAATAGACCTCCTCCTTCTCCCCCAAGTCACCATCTTTGCTCTATGCTGCCCCGGGCACTCCCCTCTGTGTTCCACCCGCCATGCATTGCAGGGTGGTGTGACCCAGCACACTGGCAGCAGGCAGTGGACCTAGACTCCTAGGGCAGGATCCCCGACAGCTCACCCTCTGCAGCTGGGCGACCTCAGCTACAACTTCCTCTCCCACGTGAGTTTTCCCAATGAGACTGCCCGAGTTCTCCATGCTTCACGTGGCCCATGGGGGACCGACTCAGATAATGACCATTCGCTGCTTAGAATGAAATGCTCAAAACTGTCAGTTTTTCTTATTCAAAGAGGTGGAATCATTTTAGCCCTCCTTCAGCTGGAAGCCAGAACAAATCCATGGAACATTCTGTCACGATGGACATGTTCTATTCTGCGCTGTCCAATCTGGAGACCACTGGCTGCTAAGACTGAGGAGCTGAATTTTTAATTGTATTTAATTTAAATCTCAGTTTCAATTTAAATACCCCATGTGGCCCGTAGCTATCCCATTAGACAACAAGCTCTAGGGGAATCACAGTGCATTCTTTTTTACCCTCACTGGGCTTTCAATACCTTCCTCCATCAGGTGTTTAACCTTTGAGGCATAAACTGTACCAGTAAATTCTATCACCCCAGAAAATAACCTTCATGGCTCGGCCCACACACCAAACACTCTATACATCTCAAAGGATCACAATGGATAGGTGAGCATTATCATTATTCCCTTGAACCAATGAGTAAAGTGTGGCACAGAGCAGAGCCATAACTTCTCAAAGTCACAAAGCAGCCAGAGACAGAGCTAGAATTTGAACTGGGGTCACAACTCTGAAATCTTAACCATGACAGAGGCACTTCTGCAGACAGGGGCCTCACAGTGAATCTTGCGCTCACCCGCTGCAGCATGGAGTGTCTCTTCCCTCATAGTCAATGCCTAGACAGGTACTGACCTTCTTTCCCTAAACCACTCGTTCTTCCCATCCAAGCACAACACGGGCCTCACGAAATTATGGACATTCATTCTATCAGCTGACGAGAGACAAAATGCAAGAGCAAATGGAAACATGTCCTCCAGTGTTTGGTTCTAAAGAGCCTGGTGGATTCTCCTAGACCCAGTAGATAGACGCTGCCCACCAGAAGTGCTAGCTTAGAAAAAGCAACTTAAGAGTAACAGCCACATGGGTGCAGCACTCCACCAAGGGAGAATAATGAACCTAATAAAAGTAGTGATTTTCCAATTGCTATTGCTACTGGAAACACTGATTATGCTAATTAAAGGGTAGACTGGTAAATACCCACTCCTTTGCATCCAATTAAGTGCTCAGATTGTTTCTAGAAGTATTTCTTGAAAATAGCACTTTTGATTATCATGGGTCCCAAATAAACAAGTATGGGTGTGTGTGTGTGTGTGTGTGTGTGAGTGTGTATGTGTGTGGGTGCGCACATGAAACAAGCACACTCACATGCACATTTCTCTCTGGAGCTCATTTCATGGAGATGCACAATTCCTAAAATTCCTATGGGGCCAATTGTGAGAAATCATAGTCTCCTAGGACAGCAGCTTGCAACGCCTTTCCAGGTAAGTGTGTGAAGCACCTAGCACAGGAAAAAAAGTGGGAAAGTCTGAGATTTCACGCAAACATCAGGAACTCGCCTGAATATGCAGGGCTGCCTCCTCCCCCATGAAGTCAATGAAACCTTATCCGAAATAACAAAAGAGCCAAACTGTGCTCTACAAAATGTTCAAAGTTTCACCCTTCTACTCGGTTCCATATTCAGGGCAAAGTCAATTCATATGTAAGGTAAACAAAGTGCCCTCTCTGAAAATGGAGAATTATATGGAATGCCAATCTAAAATACAAAAAGTAAATATTAGGGGATTTGCAAGTTAAAGCAACCATAGAGACTCTACTGTCAGAAAGGAAAGTGTGTTACCTGCAGAGGTGACAGGTAAGATGCTAGAACGAAAGGAGGATTCTCTGGGACTATTTCTGGAAGTCAACCAGGAGAACAGGATGGGTGTCTTACCCACAAAGGAGCTGAGATTCATGTATTTGCTCCACACATATCTGAGCCACGGTGAGCACCCACTCTGTGCCAGGCCAAAAAGCCAGGAAAAGGGTGGTCAACATTATCAACACGGTCCCTGACTCCCTGATTCCAGAGGAAGGAAACAGACCACCAGTAAGTAAGCAAATTAGTAAGCAAAATTAGGATCATTTCAGCTGGGGGAAAATGCAAACTAGAGAAATTGAAACTGGATCACAATGTAGAAATGGCTGCTGGAGGCAGAAAGCCCAATGCTTGTCATGTAGCTATGGACAGCAGAGCTCTCGAGCCTTACAAAGTAGTCACTGCTGAGACTTCCATCTGAGGTCCTTTCCTAAAAGCAGAGCTTGAGACAGGGATTCAGCACATGCAGTGTACTGGGGGAGAGCCCAGCCTACCCCACAGGGAGCTTTGAAGCATATGCTGCATCTCCACGTAATCCCTACCTGAGGCCGGTTAGTTGGTCTTGTGTCCTGCCAGCCAGCCACTGGCCACGGGCTGCTAGGAGTACAGGTGAGACCTATCAGGTGAGTCTGACAGACCACCTGGCTCATGGTGATTTTCCAGAAAATGGGCAAGTTGACAGTCACAGCAGCCAACTCCAAAGGTGGGCCTGGGGGTCTGGGTGGGGCCCCAATAGCAACCCCTACAACTTACAGATTGCTTTCCTGCGTCTCTCTCTCTCTCTCCTGGGACATTTTGGCATCATTTTACTCATTTGTTTTCAACTTCCCTTGTCATTTGTTCACTGAATGGCCAGCACACCAGGCAATCATCACACAGCTCTTCATGGTCAGTCATGTACACACCAAATGGCCGAGTTCACACCATCACCATCTCGCATTTCAACTTTAAAGTGTTTTCCAGAACATCCCAGTCTGGGTTGCACAGGAAGTTCACCGAACAGTCCTCAAGTCAATAGTTTAGCTGACACAAAGAAAAGGACTTGTTCCCCAAATACCAGACCAATCACTCCGTAACTAAAACCCTGATGTGTGCCTAGTCTGTGTCAGATCTGGGATGAGGAATGACTTACAGCGCCAGCCCACCTCACTGAGGAGCAGACATAGGATTTTTTCCTAGTAATTTTATGAAGGCTTGTCAAAAAAAAATATATATATATACCTCTATGATGGGGAGTAAACACTTCTAGAACACTCCCTTTTTTTTTTCAAAGATTTATTTTATTTATGCATACAGGAGCTGGGGTACAGGTCAGAGATGAGGGGGAGGTGAGAGGATTCACCAGAGACAGAGTAGGGAACAGAACAGGCAGACTGACTGACATACACTGCTGAGGGGAGCAGCAGGCAATATAGGAGAGGTCTGCTTTGCCATGCGGGTGGCTCCCTGGCCGGCCGGGGATCGAACTCCTGCTGCAGAGGCTGCGGATTGCTTCAGAGTATGGTGCTTAACCCCTTGCGCTATCAGGGAGGCCACGCCAGAAATTTTCACTCATGCAGTCTGTTATGTGGTTACAATCACCACAACTCTGGTCTGAAAAGTCAGTCCCATTCACGGTAAGCCTTCAGCCCTCACAAGCACCCAGGGTATGCTATCACCCCTGTCTGGCAGCTGAGCAAGCTGAGGTGGAGGGTTTGAGCACCGTGCATCACCCGGCACCCAGCACAGAGCGCACTTTCACCACTGGGTTGTCCAGCCTCTGGGTGGCCCGTGGATGAGCAGACCCCTGTGCAGGGAGCAAGCTGGCAGTCTCCCCTTCTGGCAAGCACCCTCACATTTCACAAGCCTTAGACATGGGCACCAGCAGCAAAGCTACTCCTGTGCCCACCAGCCCCAGAAGAAGGCCAGAGATGGCATCTCCTTGGCACCAGCAGGGACATGGGCCCCAGGCTGTCCCCTCTGCTGTGATCTGGGGATGCAATGTCCCCTGATTGGCCAGATAGAGCCGCCTGACCCCTGAAGCCAACAGAACCAGCCTAGGCAGAGGAGGTCAGGTGCTCTGAACAGACACGGGGTGGGGATGCTGGGGCATGCAAACATACTAATGAATACCAGACCTCAGGTTTGTGGAGGCTTATTCTATCTTGACACAGAAAAAAGAGCCTACTATGTGCCAAACCATGACACCCGGCACTTAGTTATCTGCCTTAATCCTCACAAAGCTTCCGACAGGTTCTGGCAACTTACAGGTGGGAGCACTGAGATTAAAGAAGTCCCTTGCCTTCGCCCCATAGCTGACCCAGGAAGTACCGTCTACCTCCATGCTGAGGAACTTCCCCTGCCCCATCTGCCCCTCTAGAGCTCAGGTGCATCTCACAAATTGGGGGTGCTGCCGTTTAAAGGCCAGCATTTTTCTTCCAGGTATCACAGTACACAATGGCATGTCTTGCAGCTGACAGGTTTTAGCGGTGGGACTCAGTGACACCAGGAATAAAGGGCAACACTGGCGGCCCCAGCCACTGCTCCCTAGGGCCTCTGGACTGGGGCAAGGCTGGTGACACGTCAGACTTGGCTGACTGGCAGAGAGACATGCCTGATGAAGAGCCCTGATCAAACTTTCTCTTGTGCTCACAGGGGAGGAAGACAGCGTCCTTCCACTACCCCGGAGGAGGAGCGAAATATAACGGTGAGGCTGTCCAGCGGGCACTAGTGGAGTCCTACACTCACCCAAACAGCAACGAGACGGAATGGAGGGAGAACATCGACATCGTCATGGGCTGGTTCGAGAAGGAAGACTTTGACTTCGTCACGCTGTACTACGGGGAGCCAGACAGTGTGGGGCACCGCTCTGGGCCCGAGACGGAGAACAGGAGGGTGATGATCCGGCAGATCGACAGAACCATCGGGTACCTGCTGGAGGCCATCAAGAGGCACGGCCTGACAGAGCGCCTCAACGTCATCATCACGTCGGACCATGGCATGACCACGATCAAAAAGCAGCCTGAAGTCACCGAGATCCTCTTGACCAACTACGTCAAGTACAGAGATCTGGTCAAGTTTGACCTTGTGGACTATGGCGGCTTAGGGATGATCCTGGCCAAACCGGGGCAAGAGGAAAATCTTTACCAGGCGCTGAAGAACGCGCACCCTCACCTCCACGTCTACAAGAAGGAGGAGTTTCCGGAGCACTTCCATTATGCCAAACACGAGCGGAACCTGCCCATCTTGATGTACACAGATCCCGGCTACAACATCAACGGGGTGAGTCGGTTCTAAGCTGGGAGGAGTCGTCTGAGACCCCAGAGACAGCCACCAGGGAGGGACAGGTCTGGAAAAAATCAAAACAGAAGTGATCGCTTGGTGTGCCCTGACCGCTGCTTTCAACATGTCCCCACCCCAACCCCACGGCCACCCCTCAGCCCTGTCCTGGTCACCGTTGTGCAAAAATGGTGACAAACACCCCTGACCAAAACTAGGGTGAGCACCGCAGGCAGTCTCCCAGGAGTGACTCCATTTTGTCTTCCCAAGTGCCTGTCAAACGGATCTTCTTATTTGCCAGTTTTAAGGAGGAAGAAACCTACGTCAGAGAGAAGTGGTTTGGAATTAGAAGTAGAAAGCTGAGGTGTGACCCCACTGTGCTCCTTACTTCCCCCTCCTCCCCCGCCCTCCCCCACAATGTACACCACTTCTCTGCCCTCAGAAATTCTCTCGTCTCTGAACGGGAGCGTGTGGGACCAGGAACCTGCAGCAGCATTTGCTACTGCGTGACTCAGGGCAGGTTCCCGAGTCTCTGCACCTCCGGTTCCTCATCTGTAAAATGCAGGTGACAATGACAGTTCCCCGGCTGGGCTGCAGTGAAAGGATAAAAGGGGTAGGGGGAGTTAACATGTAATTTAAAAGCCTTCCGAACAGTTCACGGCACAGAGCAAGTTGCGCTGGAGAACGGTCACTGTCAGGGCGTCGTCTCCACGCTGTTGGGGTGTGTTTCCTATTCTCTTCCCCAAAGAGCTCGGGGTCCTTGCTCCTCACGGTTACAAAGATTTCGTGGCTCTGACCAGCAACACACTCGGGGACAGTTTTCTTTCCACCATTTGGAATCTAAAATGGTCCTTTCGCTATTGTTATTTTTCAGCGACTCATCCTTTATGTCAACAAAGGCGACCACGGCTTTGACAACAACTTCATGGACATGAAGACCATATTCAGAGCTTTCGGGCCAGATTTCAAGAAGGGTTACCTGGCTGAGCCCTTTGACAGCATCCACATCTACCCGCTCATGTGTCATCTCCTGGGGGTGACCCCTGAGCTCCATAATGGCTCCCTGGCCGTCACGCAGGGAATGCTCGTGGACCAGAATCCAGGTGTCACGCAGGGAATGCCCACGGACCAGAATCCAGGTGAGGCACAAAGCAACCGGCAGAAAATCACCAGGTGGCATATTCTGTGCTGAGATAGAGAAGAGTCAGAGGGGGTCTCCTGGAGGAGTGCAGGTCTGGCAGAGCAGGCCTGTTTTCCAACGCCTCAAACCCCTCCATGCCACACCCTAACACAAGACAGTAACAGCTCTAAACTGAGGCAGGAATCCCTCAAGGGATGGGGACTTTTCAACAGTGCCTTTGGGGCAAATGGCAGACTCTCCAAGGTGGGTGATAATCCTTGCGCAGCTCAGAAATGGCGTGTGGCCTGCCCCCAGATGCCCCTTGCAGACCCACAGTCAGGCAGCCTTCCGCAGCTCCGTGCTGGCTGGAGCCCCGAGGAGGCTGTTCACACAAGCCTTCAGTCCCCTCAATGCTGAAAGGGGGAGCGGCGTGTCTGTAAAGGAGATTTCTAATTCTTCAAAACCCTAAACCCAGGCAATTTAAAACAAGAATGGGACCATCTCTGGGATTTGGGTGGCTTACAAACCACGTTCCACCTGAGAGCCTTGGTCACTGCCCAATGATTTCTGATTTCTCGCGTGCTGAGAGTAACAGGGCTCCATGGACAGGCAATGCACAGGACGCCTCTGGCAGCCTTCCCCAAGCCTCTGCCCACCATCTCCTGTGACCAAGCAGGCAGTAGGCAGGCCCTTTGGCCGAGAGCCAAGTAAACGAATAACCAGCTCAACCAACTCTTTAGGTTGGTTGAAGTTTCAGAGTTTGGCTGGGCCCAACCCAGCCCTTAGCCCAGTGGAGCCAAGGTGCCAGGTATTGATCAGCAGGATGCCGCACAAACCAATTTTCAGTAAATTCTTTTAGCAAATTGGTGATTTGGCAAAGTGGTCATTAGACAGGTGGGTCATTTGGCAACTAGGTCGTTTAGAAAATCAGCTTTCAACAGCGTGTCCTGCAAGATCCTTCCACGGCACACACTGTCCCGGGATCAGTGTGCATATCATTTCCACAATAAAGATTCACTAGCGCCTGCATGGGGGAACGACCCAGACACCTGGAGCGGCAGAACAGCCTCTTCCTGATCAGACTATTCAAAACCACCTGGTGTTTTAACAGGAGGGGGAACCACTTCGAAGACGCTGCATAACGCAGTGATCGGCCTCGGAACGGTCACAGCCGTGCTCCTGATTGTGTTTCTCTCTGCGGTCACGTACACTGCCATCCAGCGGAAAAAGACGTGAGTGCTTTTCCTGGGTTTCCTGGGGTCCTCCGTGTACACACTCACAATCCATTTCTCCACCTCCTGCTGCCCTCTGCGGCCCCCTGGAAGCCCCGAAGCCTGGGCGGGTGTCCTGGGCCGGCTGCCTGGGTGCTCACCTGGACCCGGGTCAGAAGAGCCCCCGCCGGCTTTAATGACCTACTGCCACTGCCCTGAAACTTGGCTTTTGGAAAAAGGGCCCCACATTTCCATTTTGCACTGGGCCCCAAAAATCACACACCAGTTGTATTCATTTTCTAGGATAGTCCTAACAAAAGACCACACCCGGGAGGGCAGAAAACAGCAGAAACGTGCTGTCTCCAAGATCTGGGGCTGCAAGTGCGCACTCGGGCGGGCGGCAGGCCCAGGCGCCCAGAAGCCTGGGAGGGAGGGTCCTGCCTTGCCCTTCTAGATTCTGGTGGTTGCTGGACATTGGGGGTTCTGCACCCAATTTTCAGCGTGAGGAGAGGGTTCCCCACACCTACAACCAACAATTCTCAGACACCACTGGGAGGGGAGCCGACAGTTCAACTCAATTCTGACACTGCCTGGAGACGGCAGCCCACCCCTCAGGCTGAGGCCAACAGGACTGCGCCCCCGCCCGCCGCCCTAGACACCCCTCACTGTCCAGCTCGTCACGGTTGTTCCCACGACCCTTCCTTGCGTTTGCCAGTTTGCTAGAGCAGGTGACAGAATTCACGGAGACGTTTGCTAGTCGTCAGGAAAGGCGTCGCTCGGCTCCGGCCGGGAGTGAGGATGGGGGCGTGGGGCTTTCATGTCCTCTCAGGCTCCCTTTCTCCCCAGTTCTGCTCACGGTCCCCAGCCCAGACCCCTCCCTCACTAAGCCGGTGTGGTGAGTGCAGCTGACCTGTCCCCTGGTCTCCCCGTCCACAGCGGCCGGACAAGCGACCAGCGCAGCCCAGCGGAGCCGCGGGGCGCGACCGCCTTCTGAAGCTGCCACGGAGACTCGCCCCGTCGGGATCCCCGTGCGCCTCCCGCTCGGGGCCCCCGGGCCGGGGACACCCCGGGCCGACACCGTCCTTGCTTGTAAACTCCCAGCAGCGCCCCGGCCGCCTCCCGAGTGGGGGAATAAAGGGGGACGATGTGTGTGTGGCCCCGAGCCCACGTGGTGCGGCGGCAGAACCGCGCGGGGGAGGCCCGGGGGGGGGGGGGGGCAAGGGGGGGGCCGCGCCTACTGGTGGTCACGCCCGCCCCAGCCCGCAGTGGCCCCGGCGAGGAGCTGTCGGATCCCCCCCCGGCCCCACGCCCGGGGCTGCCCGCGGGCGGTCACCCCGACCCGGGTCCGCGGGAACCCCACTTGTCGGTCCACTCGGCCCGGCGCCCCGAGCTCGCCCGCGGCCGGCTGTCCGCGGTCCGCGGGCTCTGGGGGCGCTGCTGCCGGCCTAGGCCCGGCCCCGCCCGCGGGCCCAGCTCGGCCCTTCCGGGCGGCCGCCCCGCCTGACGGGCTCCAGCCCCCGAGCAGGCCCCGGCGAGCGCGGCCCCGACGGCGGCGCGGCCCCGAGGGCTGGGGTGCGGGCGCCCCGGCTCGAGGCCCTTCGGCCGCAAGGGCGCGGGGCCCGCGCGGACGCCGCTGAGGAGAAGCCCCGACCCGCGCGGGGCCGAGGCCGGCGCTCCCGGCGGGTCCACGGCGGGGCCGCGGGCAGGAGGGCGCCCGCGCCGGGACGGGAAGGGCTACCCGGGCCTCGCCGAGCGGGCGCTCCCGGGCCTCCTCGCTCCGCAGGGCGCGAAGTCGCCGCCGCGCTCTGGCCCCGCCCCCGAGCCCCGCCCCGCCCATCGCGCCTCGGGCCCCGCCTCCTGCGGCTCTAACACGGTCAAGCTCCGCCCCCACGGCCAGAGCACCGCCCATGTGCGGAGCCCCGCCTACCCAGCTCAAGCCCCGCCCCTCCCCTTGCTCAGAGCCCCGCCTGCCCAGCCTAAGCCCCGCCCCATGCGCGGAGCCCCGCCCCTCACACCGCCTTTCCGCCCCAGGCCCGCGTCCTCCTGCCCCCCCAAGCCGCAGTCCCGGGATGCGCCCGCCCCGGGCCGCCCCTCTGGAGCGCCAACGCCTCCCGTCTCCCGGGCAACGCCGCGCCCGCCCCCGCCATGGCGCCGGAGGAGCGCGTGGAGGCCGCGCGCCTGCTGCAGAGTTTCGAGCGCCGCTTCCTGGCCGCGCGCGCGCTGAGCTCCTTCCCCTGGCAGGTGGGCGCGGGCGGGCAGGTGGGCGGGCAGGTGGGCAGGCGGGCGCGGGCGGGCAGGCGGGTGGGGACCGGTGGGCGGGCCGGTGGGCGCGGGCGGGGCCGCCCCTCCCTCCTCCGGCCGCGGCTCCTGCGCGGGTCCGGGCCCCGCGCGCGCCGACCGCCTCCCCCCGCCGCCCTCCGGGCCGGGCCTGCGGGGACCGGGGTGTCCAGCCGCTCGCTCTCCACGCGGGGTCGGGGCCCGGGCGGCCCCCGCGCGTTTTCGTGGCTCTTTACAAGCCGCTTCTCCGGCCACCGAGGGGCCGCGCTGCCCGCACGGAAAGCCCCGCCCGGGCCGCGGAGACCCTCGGGGAGCGCGCGGGGGCCGCCCGCGCCGGGCCAGCGTCGCTCAGGACGGAGCCTCAGGGGCCCGGGACCGCGCGGTGGGTGGGCACGGCAGCCCGAGAGAGGGAGGCCGGGGTCCCCCTGCTCCGTGCGGGTCAGGCGCCCGAGCTCCCCGGGCCGCTGCCGCCTCCCGGGTGCTGCTTCCTCGCTCCCGCTCTTTCCTCCCCAAAGCACACTCGGCGTTTCGAGCTCTCCTCTCTGCTCGCAACGGAACTTTACATTTTTTAACCCAAAATGGGAACCTTTCTAACAGCCTCCGCAGGTCCCAGTGTCCACCGCACTGTTCACAAGGAATGAGCAGCCGCGTAGCGCTCAGGCCCGGGCGCACTTAGGCGGGACCAGCACCCAGAGAGGGGCGCGGCCGCGGTCATCTGGGCTTCACCACAAAGGGGTAACCAGAAGAGAGGTGCCGTCTGCAGGAAGGCCGGGCAGCCGCGGGCCCAAGGCTGTGGCACCTGCAGGCAGCCACTGTACCTCCCTGAGCCTTAGTTTTCTGAGTCCTAAAGCTTTGGGCTGTTGCCAGGATGAGGGAGCTCGCGGCAGCTGAGGCTCTTAGTGAGACAGCGAGCGTTACTAGTCCTTATAGCCTCACCCCGAATGTTTGCTGACGGCCTCCATGAGGCAGGACCAGAGGGCCACAGCTCATGTCCCGAGGAGGCCCTGTCCACATGGGCGCGCCAGAGACTAGACAGGACAATGCACACACGGGACAGCACAGGAGAGGCCATGGCTGTAAAGGCAGAACAGACACAACAAAAAACAGCTGCAGACAAGGCACGTCCTGTGTGTCGTTATAGCTAAGACACCACGTGCTGGCGCCCCTGTAATTCCTGATGACCACTTCAGCCACATGGCTTGTCTGTGGCCGACGGGGGCTGCGTAGCCAGAGCTCACACGAACCCAGAGCTTGTCTTGACATTCTTTCTGGGACTCCTCCGGGTGTCACCTGGCACTTCTGAAGGACAGGGGTCCTGCCGCCTGTGTCTGCCACTAACAGTTAGACCCGGGTCGCGGGGAGACATCACTGAGCACTTTGCCAACATGTCCTGTTGCATGTTTAATGTTCCTGTGAAAATGCCCTTGACATTCTTCTCTCTCCTCTCCTCTCTCTCTGAACAGAGCCTGGAAGCAAAATTAAGGGGCTCCTCAGGTTCTGAGCTGCTGCTGGATATTTTGCAGAAGGTAAGGACCCCAGACTCACTGGGCCACATCACCCCTCCTGACTCACCAGGAAGGCACAGCAGATGTCAGTAACTAGTGTCCCGTAGACAGAAACCATTGGGGGGCCTCCCCGGTGGCGCAGCGGTTGAGCGCTGGGTTGCAAAGCTGCCCGCAGCCTCTGCAGCGCAGGTTCGATCCTGGCTACTCCCCGACCACCGGAGGAGGGTCCCGCATGGCGCGCAGACCTCTCCTGCCGCCCGCTGCTCCCCTCAGCAGTGTACTTCGGTCCTTCTGCCTGCTCTGCTCCCCGCTCTGGCTCTGGTGAATTCTCTCACCCTCCTGCGCTTCTGACTGTACCCAGTACTTGTATGAATAACAAATAAATAAATGTTTAAAAAAAAAAGAAAGAAACCATTGGGTCAACCCTGCATTTGGTGTGAGCACCTCCCAGCTCTGGCCCATGAGCTTTCTGAGAGGAATGCGGAACAGGCACAAGAGGGGTGTGGTTTAAATCATCCTCAGTGAGGTGGCAGCTGTGGGAGACCATCTCAAATTTAAGAGCTGTGCAGAGATGTCCTTCATATTTTTAGGGGAAAAAAAATATAGAGGTGAGTCTTGCCCAGTCCTGTCTCTTTAGTTCTGGATTAGGTGGAGCAAATTCTTTCTTTGCAGAGGTGGGATTCCAGGGCCTATCTGGGTGCAAGTAGAAGCTGGACCCTCCAGTGCCCGGCCTGCCTCCACCCACCCCACCCTGGCCATGTGGCTCTCATTCCAATCACATGGCATCCTGGCTCTTAACCCTTTTAAGGGCCATGAACCTTCTGGGTCCAAAACTGTGGACCCTCTGCCGGGAAAAAATGCCTAGGATACATTTTTTTTTTTAAGATTTATCCATTCATGGATACAAGAACCAGGGCACAGGAGGTAAGAGGATCCACAGAGACAGAGCAGGAACAGAACAGGAGGATTGACTGAAATACACTGCTGAGGGGAGCAGCGGGTGAGCCAGGAGAGATCTGCTGTGCCATGTAGGCAGCTTCCCGGCCAGGGATCAAACTCGTGCTTCAGTGGCTGCGGACAGCCCCATAGGCTGCATCCCAACCCCCTGTGCCACCAGGAGGCCCTGCCTAGGATACATTTTGTATACAAATCCAGGAAGGTGATAGACCCCCAGCCAGCAAGACCATCCGGGGTGTCAGAATTCCCAGGGGGAGGGAGTGTGGCAGGAGCTTCTGTCTGGCCCCCAGCGGCAGCCGCAGCGGGAATGGCTTCCAGCACTGCCACGTGGCCCCGACCCGACCCAGAGATATGGAGCTCCTGAAAGCAGCTGATTCTGATTCTCACCCCGACCTTCCCCCAGAGATGGTAGAGCATTCACTGGGGATCATGTTCAGACCTCGCTCCCCACAAGGAAGCTCCAGGGGCTGCAGGAGATTTTGTTGCCCTGGAGTAAAACCATGTCCCCCCAAACAACAGGCTCCAGTGGCCCAGCCCCTCCCCTCTCTCCAGGTCCCACTCCCCACCTCCTGCCGTCGTCACCTTCAGGGCTAAGCTTCAGCACTGGACTTGGGGGGGAGGTCACAAACATCCAGTCTATAGCAGGGTGTCAGCATAACCCCATGTGCGAGCTCCTGCCTGCCGGTGCCGCTGCAGTGGAAACGTGTCTTTAGGAAACAAACCAGATTAAGACTTACTTTCGCTGGTGCATGAGGTCACCTGGCCAGACCTAGTGGGCTGGCTGCCTTTGCTAAGGGGTCAGTGACAGATTTGCTCTTAGGATACCTCGGCCATCTCTCCAGCTAAACTCTGTGTCCTCTGTCGCAGACAGTGAAACATCCTCTGTGCGTGAAACATCCACCGTCCGTGAGATATGCCCGGGCCTTTCTCTCGGAGCTCATCAGAAAGGTCAGTGAAGGGCCTCCCCGGTGGCGCAGCGGTTGAGCGCTGGGTTGCGAAGCTGCCCGCAGCCTCTGCGGCGCCGGTTCGATCCCCAGCTGCTCCCCGGCCACCGGAGGAGGGTCCCACATGGCGCGCAGACCTCTCCTGCCGCCCGCTGCTCCCCTCAGCAGTGTCCTTCGGTCCTTCTGCCTGCTCTGCTCCCCGCTCTGGCTCTGGTGAATTCTCTCACCCTCCCGCGCTTCTGACTGTACCCAGTGCTTGTATAAACAAAACAAACAAACAAATAAATAAATAAAACATGCCTCTATAAAAAATAAAATAAAATAAATTTAAAAAAAAAAAAAAAAAAAGAAAGGTCAGTGAAGAGCCCTGTCCATCTGGTAGCCAAACACCTCCGGAACATGGGGGGCTGTGCAGAGGCAGCTCAACCACCCGCTGTTTTGGTGGGACCCAGGTCCATCCTGGGCGCGCTACCCCTCTACAAATCCCCAGTGGCCGGGGCCTCTCCAGTGAGAGTGCAGAGGTCAGGGCCTTCTTTCTCCCTCCGCCTCCAGGGCTCCCTAGCAGTGCTGCACCTCCTCTGTGGTCACAGCTTCCCGGGAAGCTCCCAGTCACCAGGCAGCCCCTGGTGCTAAAAACCCCACCTCCTCCTGTCCTGCCAGCCAGTGGGTGACAGGTTCCTGCTGCTGCCCATCTCCCACTGGCCACACAGTCCCCTTCAGGGGTAGCAGGTCTTTTTTTTTTTTTTTTAAGATTTATTTATCCGTGCATACAAGAGCAGGAGGTGAGAGGATTCACCAGAGACAGAGTAGGGTGCAGAACAGGCAGATCGACTGAAATCCACTGCTGAGGGGAGCAGCGGGGAGAAGGAGGGGTCTGCTGCACCTTGTGGGTAGCTCTCTGGCTGGGAATTGAACTGCTGCAGTGGCTACAGATAGCTTCATAGTGCTGAGACTTAATCCCTTGCGCCAACAGAGAGGCCCCCCCCTTGCAGTACTTTTGAAACTAGTTCCCCTTCTTGTCTCACCCAGTGAATCCCCTGGTCTGGCCTCTTTTCCTGTTGTACACACTGTTTTAAGGATGAGCCCAGATTTGCTGCTTCCACATCAGAGGGGGCATCACAGAGGCCATTCCTCAGTGGACAGTCGCACATCTTCCTGGACAGGCCCCTAACGCACTGAACGATCCCTGCTTCCCCACAGCCCCCAGTTCTCCCCAGCATGGCATGTGCAGCAGCACCCCCCACACCTCCGAGAGGGTGCTACTCTGGTGAGCCACACCCTCCATGTGGGTGCCCATCCTGGCCCTGTGCCTGGGCCACCTCAAAACCCCGCGTGTTCTGTCCGTCTCCGGCATCCTGACAAGCTCTGAACCCATCACACACCTTTCCACTGCCCTCCCCCGGGCCCCAGTGAGTGAACTGTTCAGAAGACAGGGGGCCCTTCTGAGCCAGCCACCCCTCCTCCCATCCACGTTGAGTGAAGACCCTCATCCATTTTTACAAGACAGAGAGCAAACAGGTGGAGCCTTTGTTTGATGCCTGAGGCTCAAACATCTCGCTGAAGTTCTCGCCTCTGCCTGCCCCGCAGCATGAGGCTGTTCCCACAGAGCCTTTGGATGAGCTGTACGAGGCATTGGCGGAGGTCCTGAGGGCCAAGGAGACCACCCAGTGCCACCGCAGCTACCTGCTGGTAAGACATGCCCACACCCCACAGTTTACTGGGCCCCTCGGCCTCACACAGCCCAGTGCTGTCTCAGCAACTCTGGTGTCCTCACCTGCACATCAGGCGGAAGCGCCTGTCCTGGGCTGGGGTGAGAGTAGGGGTGCACGCTAGCTGCGCAACAGGGACCTGGCCTTCCATCCCCCAGAGATGCCTCTCGGGGGCCTGAGCCGCCATCCCACCCACCTGGACAGGTCTCGTGGCCCGTCTGCCCTTCCCTCTCCATGCCCCACAGATCCAGTCTGCTCACCACAGCCAGCGGGTCCTGGGTCTTTTGTTTGTTTTTAACCTCTTCTGACGAGATAGAACTTCGAGCCAGGCGGCCATGCAAAAGAAACAGTACAGGGCGGCGAAGGGCGGGCCCTCAGCAGCCCCCACCAGGCCCCCATTGGCCATCCCCAGGGTGTGAGACATCTCTCCAGCCAGCGTGGTTGTCTGCTGTTCATTCTCTGGAAGGTCCTTTAATAAGACCGTCCCTGAGTTCTGGCAGAGCCGCCTGTGCTGGAACCCGACCTCACATCCCACCTCAAGTCCCTCGATACGCGCGCCGTCCTCTTTAGCATAAAGCACTGCTGTGGAAATGCCTGCTGGGCATCTCGACTCTGTCCCTCTGTGTCATGTGGCATTTTCTCTTAGATGGTCAGAGGGGTTCTGTGAGGTCCAGTATTTTATTAGACGGCATCTCGAGGTTCATGGGTGTGGGCCACTAGTCACCTTGTGTGTTCATTCTGGTCTGCCTCCCCTACCGGCCTGTCCTAGGGCTGAGACTGAGGTCACCTAGTGGCAGCCGGACTCCAGACCCCCTGGATGCTCAGGGAAGTGTGTGGAGGAACACATCCCAGGGATCCCGGAGCCCCACCCCCAGGGATTGCCTGTTGGACGTGCCGTTCTCAGCAGCCCCGGGTCCAAGAACGCGTTTCAGGGCTGCTGTCCCAGCGCTGCCAGGCAGGAAATTTCCAGCCCCAGACATCAGGCTGAACTCAGGAAGGGCCCCCAGGGAGATATTGCACACTGAGCTAGGATCCCCAAAAGCTGTGACTTTTGGTGGTGGTTGACAATGACAGAGTCACAGGAAGCTGCAGAAGCAGAACCCAGAGGTCCCCGGTGCCTTCCCCCAGATCCCCTGAAGGAAACAGCCGAGGTGACAGCCAGACTTGTGGTGGCCAGGGCATGAGGTCCCACGTCATTTATCACACACATGCATCTGCGCAGGCAGCTCCCCAATCAAGACACGGAACTATCTGTCATCGCAAAGTGCTCCCCCAGGCCACTGCTCTGTGGTCACTCCACCCCGCCCCCAACATCCTGGCCCCCCCGACCTGCTGTTTCTCATGCCATTGTTGTGAGAATGTTGGGCAGATGCCCCTCTGAGATTGACTTTTTGGCTCAACATAACACCCTTGGGTCCATCCAGATTGGGTGTGATCGTTGGTTCGTTCCTTTTTGTTGCTGCGTAGTATTCCCTGGCATGGGTCGTGTTTGGCCAGCCTCTGGCTGTGATTTTTTTAATTGAATTAATTCTCCCTGTCTCTGTCCAGCCCTCTGGGGACTCGGTCACCCTCTCGGAAAGCACCGCCATTGTGTCCCACGGCACGACAGGTCTGGTCACGTGGAATGCTGCCCTCTACCTCGCGGAATGGGCCATAGAGAACCCGGCAGCCTTTGCTCACAGGTGACCTCAGGGCAGGGCACCACAGGGGGTGGGACGTGCCCCTCAGTTAGGGTCACTGGTCCCCTTCTCGCACCCAGGACTGTCTTAGAGCTGGGCAGTGGGGCAGGCCTCACAGGCCTGGCCATTTGCAAGACGTGCCATCCCAGCGCCTACATCTTCAGCGACTGTCACAGCCGTGTCCTCGAGCAGCTCCAAGGGAATGTCCTTCTCAATGGCCTCTCGTTGGAACCAGAGGTCACCATCCCTGAGCAGCACGCAGGACACCCAGAGAGCCCCCGGGTGACAGTTGCCCAGCTGGACTGGGACGTTGTGACCGGCCCTGAGCTCGCTGCCTTCCAACCAGATGTCGTCATCGCGGCAGGTGCTGCGGGCAGAGACGGGAGTGTGGGCTTCTGGAAAGGCTCCTGTTACAAAGGCGTCATGGGACAGCTGGGCCTGCCCCTGGTAGCCAGGCCACAGCTAGCGGAAGGACTTCATGTCCCTCTCCGGCAGCCTGAGGGACACGTTGAGGTTGCCACCCAGAACCTAAAGGAAGTGGCCAGATCAACCCCAAGATCTGGCACCTGCCCCACCCCCGCCACACCTGCCCTTTCACCCCCAGGTGTCCAATAAGGCCGCCCCTCAGTCTCAGACGTGGGGCAGAGACAGCCGTGCAACCTGGCGTTTCCAGGGCCACAGGCCATGGCTCACTCCCCTTTCCCATGTATGTCAGGGGGGCCCACCCAGGCCAGGCTGAGGGTCAGGCCAAGCTTGGATGGAGTAGGGGGAGGAGCCCAGAGCCCCACCTCTGCCCGTCTGTACTCCTGTCCACTCTACATGTCTGTATTGTCATGTCTCTCCTGTCTACATGGCCCTGTGGCCATAGGGTCCCCTTGCACATCTGTGTCCTAAGACCACACCCTGCTGTCCTTGAGAGAAGGGTCATTTGGCAAACAGGCCTCTCATCCTCCTCCAAGCTCGCTAGTCTCCTCTGCAGGCACAGCCTCTGGCCCTAGCACCCACAGCCCTGAGCCCTGCCTGGGGTTCTGGATCCCAGAGGGAGTCCTCTCCGGTGACCTGGCGTTTCTGTCACAGATGTGCTGTATTGCCCGGAAACTGTCCTCTCCCTGGTCACTGCCCTGCAGAGACTCTCCGTGTGCCGGGCGGGCCTGGAGGTACTTGATGCCTACATCGCCTTTACTGTCCGCAACCCAGAGACATGCCAGCTGTTTACCACCCAGCTAGGTGAGCCGGGCTGCCCAGGCGGCAGGCCCACATGCTGCCCCGCGGGGGGGGCAGAGAAGGACCTGGGAGTAGGCATTTCAGGTGGAGAGAGCCAAGCAACAGGTGCTGGCGGGGGAATCCTACTGTGATACCTGGGGGCCAAGGCTGCTGCCCTACTGTGTTTATAGTAGGTTGTGAGTGCCTTTGGGCCTCATTGTCCTTGTCTTGACACTGAGGGGCCAATGCCAGCAGGGTCAGGACAGACCTGTGCTCCCACCGCCTTTTCAGAGAGCCGGGCCAGCTGTGCTGTGTGGCTCGGGAGAAGGCAGGCTTTCGGGTGCTGGGGTGAAAAACATCTACAGTATATTTTGAGTGAAAATAGCAAACTGTCAAACACTATAGATGCTTTAAGTCCATTTTTATTTTTAAAAAACATCTTCACATTACTCTCCATATGAGGAAACTGGAGTATACACCCATTAACAGTGTTACACATGGGTGACAGGATCTTAGACACCCCACACCTTCACATCATGATTCTTATACACTTTCCATTAGTAAAAACCTGGGACAAAGTCCTGTGCTCACGAGTGCAACCGTGAGTGCTTGAGCAGACTCAGGCTTAGGCTGGTGATGGGGTGGAGGCGGCAGCAGAGCGGGAACAAGGGCCATGACCCTCTTAAGCACAGGCCCCGGGGTAGAGGCAGCAAACCTGGCTGCCATGACTGTTTTGAACCGCTGCTCCTGGTCTGCCCCTGGGGGCCAATGCTAGACGGGGCCTGGAGTCAGTGACACAGCAAACCAGCTTGCCCAGGCCGCAGCAGGGTGGTGTCCTCAGTGTTTGCTCCGTTTCAGGCCAAGCTGGGATCCCATGGGAAGCAGTGCCTCCTCATGACCAGAAACTGTTTCCCTACGAAGAGCATTCCGAGATGGGGATTCTGAGGCTCATGCTCTAGGCAAACCAGCATTCTGGAAGACGTGTGTGAAATTAACTCACTATCCTAGAAAGGATTTTTATAGGGGAAAGGTGATGGGACTTTCACTGGACTCAAATGCATGAGGAATGTTAAGTTCCGAATCAGGAGCCACAAACTACTCTAATAAAACCACCGGTTCGAGTCTGTGAGTGCCTCTTTTTGCCAGCAATTTTGGGTTTTTTGTTTTTGCGTAGAACTGGGGTACAGGCCAGAGGTGTGGGGGGTTGAGAGGATTCACCAGAGACAGTGGGGAGCAGAACAGACGGATCCACTGAAATTAGGGCCTCCTCTCTTTTCTTCTGTTCTCAGAGCCTCTTCGTTCCCCCAGTTCATTCCTTTCTCTTTCCTTTGCTCTTCTACACTGCTGAGGGGAGCAGCCGGGAGACAGGAGAGGTCTGCTGCGCCATGTGGGTAGCTCCCTGGCCAGGGATTAAACTCAGGCCACAGCAGTGACAGCGCTGAGACTTAACCCCTAGGCCACCGGGGAGGCCCTAATTTTGTTTCTTAAGCAAACGACCATCTATCAGAAATGGAAATTTTGGCTCAGAGGTAAGCATCTTACTTGGGCAAATAAACAAAAACAAACTATGTATGTGTGTGCGCATCTCAAGTGCATTCCCTCCTGGATACAGGCGGCCCCCCTCACGGCGCCAGCTGTGGGGCAGTGTTCGAGGAGAATCGAGTTTTGGGGCACCGCAGGGCAGATGCCTGCAAAGGGGACACCTGGAGACAGAGCTGTGTGAAGACACCACGAGCAAAGAAAAGAGAAGGAATGAACTGGGGGAACGAAGAGGCTCTGAGAACAGAAGAAAAGAGAGGAGTGATTCAGAGGCTCCTAAGAGGGAACTAGGCTGACCCAGCTTCCGGCCACGGAGCCACCCCCAGGCCCACCCTTCCACAGCTGCCTCCCAACGCGGGCCTGCGTCCTTCCAGCTGCGGCCACTGGGTGGCGCTGCTCCCCCGTGTTTGGCCAGGGACTGGGCTGCTGCTGGGAGAAGCGGGAGGAGGCAGGAAGGGCGTGGGGGCCTCCACCACTGTCCAGCAGGAAGGTCAGCGCTTTCAGGCATTGGTCTGGGGTCACGTGTCCACAATCAGGGGGAGCACTGTGCGCTTCCAGCTCTCGTCCCAACCGAGCTGCTCTGACTCATGCAGGTTCCTCCGGAACTGGTTTAGTTTGCCAGAAGGATCGGGAAAATTTGTGAAAAGCATCTAGAAGAAAAATAAGCGGAACTGACGTCCTCTCACCAACACTTCCCATCCAACCCAGGTCCCACCTGGGAGCCATCCCTCCTTCCCAGGGTCCTGGCCTGCCCGCCCCAAACACCCCAGCCAGGCCAGGGACGCTTCAGAAACGCCCACACATGACAGCATTTTAGGGGCCACCACTGTGTCTTTCTGCGGGGCTTCCCCCTGGCTAGCCCAGCTGCCACTCAGCCTGGTGAACTGCTCAAACACAGCTCTGAGTCCCAAGCCCTGCCCCACAAGCCACTCCATCCCTCCTGGGCATGAGCCACACACCCCCACTCCTGCTCTGTTACCTGACAGTACTCACCAGCCACACCCCACTAGCCATACTCTGTGCCTGCAGCTGCCACCTTGACACCCACCCATAGCCCACCCCCACCCATAGCCTCCGCCCAGCCCACAGGCTGGGAACCAGGCACACCTGGGTGCTCGCCTCTTTGCTGAACTCAGGTGCAAGCTATGGTCTGTGGCCAACCCCAGCCTTCCACCAGGCTTTGTAAATAAAGTTTTATTGGAACACAGCCACACAACGTGGATGCTTCACCACAGGACTGAGAAGTTCCAACAAAGACAGTGTGGCAAAGCCAGAAATATTGGGCCTACCTGGTGGCACAAGGGGTTAAGCACCGCACTATGAAGCAATCCGCAGCCTCTGCTGCATGAGTTCAATCCCCTGCCTGCCAGGGAGCAACCCACATGGCGCAGCAGACCTCTCCTGACTCGCCCACTGCTCCCCTCAGCAGTGTATTTCAGGCAATCTGCCTGTTCTGTTCCCCACTCTGTCTCTGGTGAATCCTCTCACCCCCTGTATCTCTGGCCTGTACCCCAGTTCTTGTATACATAAATAAATAAATCTTTAAAAAAAAAAAAAAAGCCAGAAATATTTTCTATCTGGGCTTTTCCAGAAGGTTTGCCGACCCTCGGTATCAATATAGAGAATGACAACACATTCCTCATTGTAGTAAGAAATCAGCACCCTCTGAAGACTCCCACCCCACCTCACGTCTTGGGTCCAATCGCTCCCTAAATGGTGCCCATGGCTGCCTGGCCCCAGCCTCCTGTGTGGTGTCAGCGCCATAAACCCAAAGGTAAATGAGGCCCAAGGCCCCCAGCCCGAGGCCCATCCTCAGAGGCCAAAGTTTTCCCTCCAGACCCACCAAGTCCCACTGGCTGCAGGAACAAGGCACTGGGAGTCGTGGCTCAGTGACCAGCGACGGGCAGATGCACTACCTGCAGCTGAGCTGCCAGCTCCTCCATGTCTGTGAAGACTAGGCCATTCTCCTCGTGTTTCACCAGCTCGTGCAAGCTGCAGAGAATCCAGGGAGGCTGAGAGTTGTCTAGGGAAGGAACCAGAAGCCCCCCTACCTCCACCCCACCCACAGGCCACCCTGGGGTCAGGAACAGTCAAGTCTAATATCAGCGAGTCTGGGAGATTTGGCATCTGAACAGAGAAAGACCCGGAAGGACACTTGTGGGAAATCAGGCCAATTCCAGGACGGAAGGGCAGTAAAAGAATTTGGACCTTTAGTGCCATCTGCTCCTTTCTGTGAGAACATGCTCAGCGAGGTGTTTTTATTTGCCCAGCGAAGAACAAGGTGAAAGGTCACCCACTGCGGGCGGCTCTGCACACTGAAGGGCCAGGGGCAGAGCCTGGCTGTCCCATGGGCCAGGCGCCCCCCATTCCCACTCAGCCAGCTCAGCCAGGGGCAAGACACCTGCTTCTCGAGCTTCTCCTAACACGGCCCTCTCCACACGGGCCCACGGCGCATACGTGGAGAAAGAGTTATGCTCATTTAGCTGCTTCAAACACAAGTGAGCAAACTCAGATGGGGAGAAATAAAACTGTGTAAAGTATGGGCAATCCCAGCCGCCCTTCGATCCCGGAACACGGCCCCAAGAGGAGCTTCCTGACTGCATGAGAATCTACACAGAAGGCAGCCTCGCCCACCCAGCCTGCTCTCCACCCTGGCCCGGCCCGGACACCTGCGTCAGCGGGGCGCTTTTTGGGGAGCCCTGACAGGAAGACCCGGCTACGCTCCTACCAGCGGAAGCGGACGGCGCACACGGGCAGGCAGCAGCCAAACATGTCCACCACCTTCATGGGCAGGTCCAGGCCGCTGGAGGACTTGTGCAGACACACGCCCAGGTCCGCCGAGCCTGCAAGGCAGGGGGCGCTGTGACCACAAACCCTGCAGGTCTGGGAGGGCGTGGGAAGTGGAAACGTGCCCAACGCCACCTACCATGGGCTGGCCTCGCACCCCTATTTTTATTTCAATGGACTCACTTTTTCAACTTAACCACAGTAAAATGTTTACAGTCTGGACCTTTCCAGAAAAAGACTGTGGCACACCCCACATCAACTTTTAAGTCCCCTTCCTGCAAGCCTCTTGGGGACCCCCTTACCTAGAAGCAGGGGGTAGTCCTCCGCCTCCAGCCACGGGGTGCAGACCTGGATGTGCCGGAAATGCTTCTGGCTGATGAGGCGGCTATAGAATTCCTTCAGGGGCCCTTTGCCTGGCAGAGAAATTCAAAGTCCCGCCAAGGGCCCACCTCTGTCCCCGCCCCACAGCCCCAGGCCTAGAGGTCCCTCAAGGCCCAAGCACAGGGCATACGGGCAGCTCCCATCAGGCTTCCGCCAGGGCCCCGTCCACAAAGGATCCCTGATCCCTGAACATCCCCCAATCCTGGCGTAGGGACCTCAGGCTGGGAACACTCAGGACACTCTGGCAAACACAGGGTGCCGACCCCAAACAGTTCTGCACATGGACAGGCCCCCAGGTGCCTGGCGTGGGGTTGGGCTCCTGGCCGCCCCGGGGTACCCAGGGCCAGGACCCACCCCGACCTCAGCTCTTCCTGCCTCTGGGCCACTGTGGGAGAGACTTCACAGGGGACCATGGCCTCTTCCACTTAAGATAAAAATACACTTGGAAACACCAAGGCAGAAAGCTCAGTCTCACTGACTGGGCTACTGACTCAATGCCCTGCCGAGGCCTCCTAAGCCTGGTTCCCCATCAAGAGGGTGTAGAAAAGCCGACGTCAGGAGCACCTGAGCATGGCACCTGAGTGTGCAAGGCCCACAGCCCACAGAGCCACTCAACATGGAGCATGGACGAGCCAGGTGGTACCTGTTATCACACAGACCAGGGAAGGCAGGCGCGCTCCCTCCAGGACCAGCTGCTCAAACTCTGCATTTACAAAAATAAACCCAATAGTAACCAGAAGCAACCGGTCAGGTGAGTGATGGGTGGGAGAGGGGTGCTGTTGCCAGCTACAGCTAGGGACCCCCACCGCACTCCCAGGCAACTCTTCAGATCTAGGGCCTGGTCACTCGGTGACCCTAATGGGGACTCAGAACCATCAACCCCACCACCAGTGTCCTCCAGCTGGCCGGCCACGTGGCCCTGGGGCAGGAACACTGCAGAGGACCCAGGCAAGGCCCACAGCACCTCACAGCTCAATGGGTGCCCCCCACAAGCCCTCCCATCACAGCCACACACCTACTTTCTAACGCTCCCAGCAGGATGGAGAAGTCCTCATCCTCTACAGGAAGAGAGTGGAGTGTCAGGGCAATTTCCAGGCTCCCCTCCCTCCAGCCCAGTGCCCTTCCCTTTCCCGGGATGCACACCCCCCCTTCCCCCTGAACTGGCATGGGGTGAGGAGAGCACAGCCATTAGGTGCCCCTGTGCCGGGCGGGTTCTGACACCTGTCCAGCTCGTGCTGCTGACCAACAGCGCTGGCCGCCCCCCAAATCTCGTCACCAGCCCGCTCTGCACTGCCCGCTCCGTGAAGGCCGACCTCTCCACACCAGGATCCGAAGGCTCAGTGCTGAAGGGGCAGAAACAGAGCTGTGAGATGCCACACGCAGGCCTGTGGACCCCGGGTAGCAGGTCCCCAGAGGTCAAGGGGCAGCCACATCAGAGCCACGGAGCTGACCCGACCACCCAAAGCCGGCAGTCGGGTCCTGGTGTTAACAGCCTCGGTTGGGTGTGGAGGCCACAGTGATGAGGTAGAGGAGAGGCTGGGATGCAGTAAGGAAGCAGGGTGGTGGCAGGGAGAGGCAGCAACAGCAGAGAACACAAAAGGCAGCTGAAGACAGGAGGCCTACCGGGCCCTGAACGCAGGGTAGGTGTGGCCCAGCTTCATGAAGAGCTGGTGTTGCCGGGGCAAGGGCGTCTCTTTAAAGAAAGATGCCGGCCTGTCGTGGACGGTCACAGCTCTGCAATGAGATCATTGGTGGGGAGGGGTAGGGCAGGGGAGGGCCAAGGAGGAGGAGACCCAGGAGCATCCAGAAAGAGAAGGGCATTTGTGGGAGCCAAGTCTCAGAGTGAGACAATAAAATGCTTTAGAACCCCTGGGACCTCCAGACACCTCACCAATGGGACCGCGCAGCTTCACCTCCCCGTGCCCCATGGATGTATACCTGATGCCCCAATTCTCTGCCAGGTCCTCCCGCATGGCATTGGTCACACACAGGTTCAGGTGGGACAGGCGCCCGCAGAGCTTCTCATACCTGAAAAGATGTGTGGCTGGTCAGCCTGGAGCCTGGGTGGAGAGAGCACCCCCCCCCGCCCAACAACTATGTGGATCCCCCTGCCCATGTGAAGGGGCTGCAGGGCCAGGGTTTCCCAGAGCCTGCACCACCTGAGTTCTGCCTGGAAGCGCCCCTTCCACCAAAGCCCATGGCCTCTCAGTGTAACTACAGTTACTCTGATGTACTACAGTGTATCCCTGCAGGGGAAATCCAGCCTCTCGCTATAGAAAGAAGCTCAAGAAAGGCCTAGTCATGAAGTCAGAGCTGCTCGGCAGAAGCCGTGGGGCCAGGCCTGCTTACCACAGTTCAAAGGGAGCTTAGCAAAGGTTAGACACAAGTTAGTGGCAATTAGCCCTGTGGACAGGGCAGAACAGAAGCAACATGGAAAGGGAAGCAGTCGCTCAAGGCCACATCTGTGCCGGGGACCAGGGTCTGCCCTCACTCTGGATGCAGAGAAAGCCTGAGAGCGGACATCTTTCTTTACAGTGATGCCCTGGGGATCCAAACTGCAACTTCAGGGACCAACAAGCACCCTCTGCTGCTTAGGTCTGTTTCTGTCACTTGTAACCAGCCTTGCCCTTAATCCCACAGGTAACCAACTCCAAGGCCCTTCTTTCTACTACAGTTTTAGGAAAAGCACCTGCACCCTCCTCCCAGGCCCTCACCACTTGGCCAGCAGAACAAGGAGGTGGCTGGGGCCGTGCACCAGCCCCATAATGGAGTAGCCATAGTTGTGCCAGTCGATGACGAGCTTGCTCCCACAGAGGCAGCCCACAAACCAGCAGACGGCAATGGCAGGCAGGCCCGGGGGGTTCTGGGAAAAAGAGGCTTGAATGAGAAGGAGGGTACCCAGGCAATCAACAGCTGAGTGAAAATAACTGCAATATTTCATGCAAAGAGTAGGTATGTTTACAGAGCTCTTGGTAACCAATAAGCAGAAGACCCTCCTCCTCACCGGAAAAAGTAGGAAAAAATCATAAAGAAACAAAGTTGGTCAATGAACGTCTTGGATCACTGAAAATTAAGAAGATGAAAAATGGAACAAAGGGTGTAGGTTTTACCTATCACAATGCAAACTCCCAAAGCCCTGATAACAGCTAGTGGTCATGAGAATTTGGGTAAGAGGCATGTCCATCAGGTGGGAGATAATTCTACCCAACCTCACTCAAGGACTGGCCACACATTTGAAAGTGTGTCAGCTATTACCAAGTACTTCCACTCTTAGGAATTTATCCTAAGGAAGAAACTGGACCCATACAAAAGACAGATGTATAATGACATGCTGGGCCATGCTATTTGAAAAAGTAAAGAAGCCAAGAAGAATCTGAGTGTCCACTAAGATGAGATTAAATAAATATATTAGGGTACATCATATATTGGGACAAAGTGGTCAAGGGCCACTATAAGATTTAAAAGTGATAAAGGAAGAGGCTGAGGATCTGACTCCAGACTGACCACCTGGTTCAAATCCCAATTCCAGTGCCACCAGCTCTGTGAGGTTGGGCTGCTGAAAGAACCTCTCCAGGCCTAGATCCAGCTCTACCATGTTGGCAATGCAAGAGCTACTTCTTGGGATTGTTGTGAAGAGTTAAATGAGTCAACACATGTAAAACATTTAGGTAATAAATATAACATAAACTCTAGGGCCGCTCCCCTCGGTGGCACAGTGGGTTGCGCGCCATGCTGTGAAGCTGTCCACAGCCTCTGCAGTGCGGGTTCATTTCCCAGCCAGCCAGGAGCAAATCCACATGGCACAGCAGACCTCTCCTGCCTCGCCCACTACTCCCCTCAGCAGTGTCTTCCATCTGTCTGCCTGTTCTGCTCCCTGCTCTGTCTCTGGTGGGTTCTCTCACCCTCCCGCACCTCTGACTCTACCCCTGTTCTTGTATAAATAAATAAATCTTAAAAAAAAAAAAAAAAAAAAAAAACTATGGGTACAAATATCACGAAAAAATATCATGGATGTGTACCTTAAACAGAAGGAACACAGCCCATAATCTCCTATTCATGCTATTAAGTTTATATATACACATGAAGTAATGCCCAAATTACTTATCAATTTGTGCATTTTTAAAGGGGGGAGGGGAGTTGCATATACCTGGAGAAAAATGTAAGCTGCAGGCTCCCTCCACATCAACTTCCACAGCAAGTGCGCTGCCTGAAACACAACTTTGACTCCGTACTGGAAAATTTGAGGTCCAACTGCAAGTCAGAAAACAACCGTCACCACCAAGGAGTTCCTGGCAATTTGTAGATGTGTGCGCACGTGTACGTACACACACACACACACACTCAGAGGAATCTGAAGTTGACTTCATCCTACCTGCAAGTCTCTGAAGTTCTGTCAAACTCACGATCTGAATTCTGTCATTTTGCAGGAGTTCATCGTGGGGTTTGGAGTCTGAAAATAATGTCCCCTTTAATGTCCCAGACAGGGCGAAAATTTAAAGTCAGATGATTCCTCCCACTCAAGTTGAATAGTGGAGAGTGTTGTGGAAAATAAGAATTTTTCAAACCTCTCTCTGTTCCTCAGCATCCAGAACAGAGAATGAGGCCAATCTTTGTCCAGATCCCACCAGACTGTTGACACAGGGAGGGTCTGAGTCCATCCACTATTACTTAACACAAGGGCTGGCACACAGTGGGCACTCAAACTTATCTAGTCTCTGCAGGCAGAATTATCCCACCACACGGAAACTCCAGGAAGTCCCACACCTTGGGATAGCAGACTCCAAGCAGGGACCACAGGTAAGCAGTGGTCCTCCCATTGTACCCTGATGGGGGGTTGATGGCAACACGGAGGTGGAGGGAGGAGCTGTCACCCTGCCCCTGCACACTAAAGGGGAAAGTTGAACATGCTGGGCAAATAAAACATCAGCCTGCAGAGCTCTGCATTACAGGTGAGGAGTGGACAGGAGACACATGTCGCCAGTATGTTTACCCCAACAGAGGATGTGGTTACCAGCACAGGCCCTGGGGTCACAGGCACCTGAGTTCAGTTCGTCTTTCCACTTACTGGGAGGATTATGTGAGACTCTGCCAAGAGCAACTTGACTTTGCACAGTACCGGCATTAGGCCAGCGCTTCATCAACGCAGGCCATTTAGAGACCCACAGAGTAGCACCCACAGACAGCACCTGGTAACAGCTGTCCAGGCCATAATCTGGTTGCCCCAATCCAACCTCGGAGAGCTGCCTGACGTGGGGTTAAGGAAAGGGGTGCCGCCGTCCCGGCCCCTCTAGGGCGATCAAAGCCGAGGGTCAATGGCTGAGCAAGCCATTCCCCCTCCCAGACCCTCGAAGCACTCACTGCAGAACCCCAGTAGGGACACGGAGAAGCCGCGCTTGGCCAATGACAGCGCGTGATACTGCATGCGGGGGCTGCGGCCCACGTCGCCGAGCACCACGACCAGCACGTGCCGGGCTGCGCGCCCCCGCCGCCAGCGCTTCCACACGACCAGCAGCAGCGGCGGTAGGGACACACACAGAGCGAGCAGGGCCGCGCAGGACGCCGCCATCTTGGCGGGCCGGTCTCGGTCACGTGACGGCGCTCCCGCGGGCAGGCGCCCTGTGCGCAGGCTCAGACCGAGTGTCCGCGGAGGGCGGGGCGGGGGCCAGGGTGTGGGCGTGGTCACGATATGGGGCGGGGCCAGGGGGCGGTGGGCGGGGGCAGGGGGCGGTGGGCGGGGGCAGGGGGCGGTGGGCGGGGGCAGGGGGCGGTGGGCGGGGGCAGGGGGCGGTGGGCGGGGGCAGGGGGCGGTGGGCGGGGGCAGGGGGCGGTGGGCGGGGCCAGGGCGGGACTGGGCTGCTCTTAACTGAGATCCCGCAGAACCTGAGGAGCCCCTGGGGTGTAAGAATGAGTAGGGGCCTCCCTGGTGGCGCAAGGGGTCAAGCAACGCACCATGACCCTCCTGGCGCAGCAGAACTCTCCTGTCCCCCCGCTGCTCCCCTCAGCAGTGCACTTAGTCAGTCTGCCTGTTCTGCTCCCCACTCTGTCTCTGGTGAATTCTCTCACCCCCACCCCCACCCCCGCATCCCTGGCCTGTACCCCAGCTCTTATATGCAAAATAGATAAATCTTTAAAAAATAAAAATGGGTAGAGCTTAGGTAAAGTTGTCATGGGGTGAGGGAGGGGGGAACTCGTAACCTTTATTTTTTAAGTTGTGATATAATTTCAAAACAGTGAAACATCTAGCCAAGAAGCAATTAGATGCCACAGTGTGTAGTGTTTATGTTTATATGAAATTAAGACTTATCTCTGCTGGCGGAAGTCGGGGGGAGTGGCCTTTCTTGGCGGCTTGGGGAGTCGGGGGGCCTTTAGAGAGCTGGGAGGGGCTGCTCGTCACGCTCTGGTTTTGATCTGGGGTCTAATGACCTAAGTGTGTTCACTGGGGAAAATTGACCCAGCAGCAAACTTATTCTCAGAATGCATGCTGTGCAGCAAAAGAAAAAAAATATTTAAAAGAAAAAGAATGATTCTCAGTATTCAGCATGCAGGGCGGTTTCCCACGCCCTCCCTTTTCACCTTCTCAAGTAGCCCCACAAACATAGTGAGTGTGTGTCCATGCCGCAGCCTTGAACTTTTAAAAGCCTCCCTTGCTGAGGAGCAGGGTTGCAGGCTGGTGCAGCCAGGCCCACCAGTGATACCCAACACAGGCCTCAGTATCCCTCAGCCAATAAAAGGAAACAGTTTGAGAAGGAAAGTAGTTTAATTTGTTGACAAACTGAGGAAGGCAGCAGACTGGGGTCTGAAAGACCCGTCCCGCTCTTTGGCAGAGAGCAGGGATATTTATACAAAGGGGAGAAAAGAGGGAGATGGGCAAGGGTCTGCAAAGGGGAGGGGGAAAGGCTTGGCAAGTCCTTTTGATGCAGGCGAGGGAGATTTCTGAGATTCTGAGACTTCGGTGGGTGCCAGCTTGCTTTGTTAAGAACTGCTGTTTACCTCCCTTTTCCTCGAATGCAAGAAGAAAAACCTGCTACATGCTACAGATAGGGATGCTTCTCTGATGGGGCAGGAAGCGAGACCTGTCCTGTTTCACTGCGTCACCAGCCTCCCCTTGGAAGTTGCCCTGGAGCCCTCGGGCACAGCCACCATCATCCTCCAGCTCCCTTACCTCCTCCCTTAGTAAGAGCCCGGACAGGGCAGTGTCACGCTGATGTGGTCCCATGACCCTAGCTCAGCATTGGGCACGTTTCTCCTCGGCTTCTCCCAGCGGTCCTGTAACTCCCGCTTCTACAGACACGCAGCTCGCATGGTTAGCAAGGATGCAGCAGAGACAGGGCTCTCCACCGCCCCAGCTGAGATAGGTAGAAGGATGAGGACTCATGTACACATGGGCAGCCTCGTTCTTGCTCCAATTCGGAGCGAGTTCCCTGCCTTTAGAGTTGCATGAACCAATAAGTGGGAGGCCAGAGACCCGTGCCCACGCCACCCCCACTCTGTGGTGGGGCCAGATTGCAATCTGGAGTCTCAGCCCCATGCATTCCCTCACCTTAAGCAAGTCCCTCTAGGTCTATTGGCTTTCCTGGCCTGTAAGTTAATGGGGGAACTTCATATCTCAGGGAGCCCCCTCAATCTGATGATCTAAGAGGACCAGGCGCCAGGCTTGTGTCAGACCATGTACTCTCACCCTGAGTGAGCTGTGCCCCCTGTAGGGTAAGGAAAAATGTCCAGCTTTTCTGCCCTGCTGCTATCAGGATAGATGATGGATCCTTGCAGTCCCGAATGCATGCCTGAGGGCGGGCACCTGGAATAGGGTGTGGGCCTAGGTAGATGGGATTCACCTGGGCTGAGACTGGGCTTTTTAAGGGCGGCGTCACAGGGACGCCAGCAGAAGCCTAAAGAGAAGCCAAGAAAGAAGCAGCAGAACGAACAGAAGAACAGAGAAGCAGAGAGAACGCCAGCGAGCCCAGATACAGTGAGGATTTGCTGGGGGCTGGGAGGACCGCCAGCCTCCCGGGCCCCCCCCCAGCACCCCTGCCTGCCATATGCCTGGTCAACCCCAATAAAAGCCACTGCAAAAAGCCACTGAGGACTCTGACTCCTCCTTTACCCGGTCTGCTGGATCATAGAAAACCTGCCCTGTGTCCTTCCTGACACTACACCCCCTCGAGCCATTTGTGGCCATGGAGCCTGAATTGAGACCAGCTCAAGGACAATAAAATACTCACCAGATATCAAAGACTTAGTACAAGAAAAATGCTCTCTAAAAAGAAACTAAAAAAAGAAATGAATTATTTTATATTGATTACAAATTGAGATAATCGTATCTTGAATCTGTTGATTCAAATCAACTAGATAGTTGAAATTCATTTCACCTGCCTCTCTGGGTTACTGGGCCATTTTAAAGTGTCAGCGTGGGTCTCCTTTAAGGTTCAAATTCTGCTTCTGCTGAACAGGCCAGGCCTTGTCCCTCTGCCACCAACGTGCCCACAAATGAGTTTCCTGCAACTTTATTTTTTAAAGTTGCTTTTCAGTGCTTTGGGATTCCTGGATTGTAATTACAATTGCTACAACAAAGATGTGGCCCCAGGGCCTGGAGAGTCCCTAAGGAGGCAGGAGAGGGTGGGGGCCCCCTCCCCAGCCAGAATCAGCTGGGCCCCTCTGTCATCAGCCCCCTACTGCTGTCCTTCCCAGAGTCCTCTGCCCAGGCCACCCCAGGCCACTGGGCAGTCCTGCCTGGCCACTTGTCTGCAGCTCTGCAGGGGGGTGTGGGGGAGAAGCGGGAGGAGGCGTGTGGGGCGGGCTGATCTGGACTGAAGCACTCAGCAGTCTCAGGAGAAGACCAGCCATGTCCAGCCCAGGGCTGCTGCTCCTGCTTTTGCTGCTGGCAGCACCCCCACTGTGTCCCTCCCCCCTGTCCCCACCAGACACTCCAGAGGGTAAGGCCACCCTGGCCGGTCTCATCCTCTCTGTGCTGGAGAGAGCCACCTCCTTCCTGAAGAAGAGGCTGCCGGAAATCAACCTGGACGGCGCGGTGGGCTTCCGCGTCCTGCAAGGTGAGTGCGCCCTCTCTCTCTACCTGATGGCCCCTGAACTTGGCTTCTCCACCTGCCCCTGCCCAGTCTGTCCCCTGCATCCCAGCTACCTCCTGGCCTAGAACAGAGAGGGATGGGGCTTACTCCTCCTTGGGGGGGTCTGCAGGCTGCTGTTACCAAATAGTTTCTGGAAGTAGAAAGGATTCAAAGGCCACTTGAGAATAGATTTGTAAATAATTTTCCCAGGAGGAAATAGACTGTTTGACAACCCCTCCTCCTGACAAGCCGAGCAAGGTGGGCCCAGGGAGCAGGGTCTTTGAAGGACCCTGCTCAATTTATGGGAGGGAGCTCCACAACCCACTCCCCGCCCCCCCAGGGTGGGGATGGACAAAACCAGGACCCTAGACATCAGATTCGAGCCCCAGCTCCCTCTACTTCCAGCCAAAGCCACCTGGAGGCCCCAGAACAGAGCAAGTGTTTGTTCAGCTTTGCAGGATATAGGATCTTGGAGGAGGGGACTGGAGGCTGGCCAAGGCAAGTCAGGGGCCACCGGCTCACACTGAGAGTTGTGGCAGCTGCACGCTGCAGTTCCTCAGACTCAAGTGACTAGAACCCTAGCGGCCCCGCCCTGCCCCACTTTGAGACCAAACGCCCTCCCATAAACTTCCTTCAAAGTCTGTGCTGCCCCTGCCTACTACACCAAGGCCAGCTTCCCTCGGGCATGGGATACTTTCAGGGACCCATGACAAATCAGAAGAAAAAAATAAACTTTAAGTCAAAGAAAATGCAACACGTAACAAAACACATCTGGTGTCCACACCAACATGGTCGTAAAACAAAATCTTTAAAGTATGTTTTTGATGGAGGAAGGGGTCCACCACGAAAGTGGTGATGTGCTCCCCCAAACTGGTATGGGTCCTGCCTGGGCACCTGCCGTGTGTAATCACCTAACAGCCCAGAGAGGAAGGGGCTCTGTGTGCTCCTGCAGGTAGGGAAACTGAGGCACAGGAAGGCTTGGTCACCCCTTAGCTGCTGGGGGCAGGAGGACCAGGCATTGACCTCAAGTCCATGCTCAGTGCAGGCAGGGCGTCCAGCAGGGTTGAATACACATCATGGAAGAGGCCCTGGGGCTGTCTCTGCCTCGTGGGGAGAGATGGAAGGAGGCTGCTGCCTTTTGGGGGCACTGACAGGACAAGTTAAGGTTCCTTGGGCACAATCCCATGCTTCACTGACTCCCCCACAGCCTTCAGCGAAATCCTCAATGACCCCTTCCTTACTAGGGAGATATGGGATTAGGGCGTCCAAGCTCACAGAGCAAGTCCAAGGAAGGGATAAGGCTCTCACTTTGGGAGCTCTGTGGCTGCTCTACCAGCCGTGATAGTTCCCCAGGCTGGCAGCAGCTGCCTCACTTGGGGAGAAACAGAAACAAAGCTGGGGACCCCGGATCACCATGAAGCAGTCTGGGCTCACCTGGTCTCCCTGATGACTTGGGCACACCTCTGGGTGCCATCTGCCCGGGAGAACCAAGCGATCTAGAACCACAGCTTCAGAACTAAATTCCTTCATGGAGAGGGAGCCAAGCATGGCAGCCTGTCCACGCCCTGCAGGACGTGCTCAGAGCCCTTCTCATCCACCCTCCCCAACACCAGCCCCTGCCCCAAGGCACCTGCCCAACCATGTCCCTCACCTTTCCACCCTGAGCTGATGCCATCCCTCACATCTCTTTCTGGCCACCACTCTACTTTGCCACTAAGGGCCACTGCTAGTCCTTAGGGAATCTTGGTGAGAATTATAAGTAAAGGGCCCCCTACCTCAAGTCACTTGACTTCCGTCAGGTGGAAACTCGCTTTAATACATATATAAAACCCGGGGACCTCCCTGGTGGTGCAAGGGGTTAAGTCTCAGCATTATCGAGCTATCGCAAGCCACTGGGCCTGAGTTCAATCCCTGACCAGGGAGCTACCCTCACGGCACAGCAGACCTCTCCTGACTCACCCGCTGCACCCCTCAGCAGTGGATTACAATAGATCCACCTGTTCTGCTCCCCACTTTGTCTCTGGTGAATCCTCTCATCCACCCACACCTCTGGCCTACACCCCAGCTCTTGTATGCATAAATAAATACATCTTTTAAAAATAAATAAATACATGTGCAAAACCCAAATCAGAATATGTTGCCCTTGTGCGGTGCACAACCTGAACAACTGTCCATAGCTCTCCGTCTAAATCTGAATCCCTCTCTGATCATTTTCTCCTGCAGAGCAATCCCTATGTCTCCCTAATTAATGCTATTATCTAAACTTTATGAAATTTATGAAGTGCTTGCTTTGCACTATGGATATTAATTCCTTACTATGTATTTAGTTGATATGTTCCCTACAGCCTCCACCCCCCAGAAGTAAAACTATCATTACCCCGTTTTACAGGTGGAGAAAGTGAAGTGGAGAAGTTAAGTGACTTTCTCTGTTCACCCCACAAGAAACCATTAGAGGCAGGCTGTGAACCTGCCTCCAGAAATTAAGCCACCACCTTCACTCACTAGCCCCGTGGCCCAACTTAGCGCCCTCCGTCCCCAGGCCTAACTTCTGATTAGCTCAGCAAGTTCTTTCCCTCAGCAGCTGGGAGGCGTCAGGACTCAGGATATTGTTTCCTGCGCACGTGTTTTGTCAAATGGTGGGTGACGGGTGGCGGCACCCTGTTCCTTCCCAGCACAGCTGAAAGGCACTCAGGAGGTGTGGACCCGAGACCCGTTGCTGCAGCCACTGAGCCTGCGCATGGGGGAGCTGGCAGAGAGGCTGGAGGGGCTTCTGCGTGCATCCATGGTCTACCTCAACTTGAGCGACCCCAAGTACCTAAAAGGTAACAGCCTGGGGTGGCGCCCATTTCTCCCAGAACACAGTACCCCGGGCAGTTTACTAAAATAACCTGGGGGGGGCCATCTGTACCCACCATTCCTGGGGGCCTGGCATCAGGCCTTGACACTGGTTCCCACCCACTAGGGGGTGGAGAGCAGGGAATGTCTCCCTCATTTGTGCAGCTCATGCCCAGGCAAAGGGGGCAGGGGATTAGGTCCCAGACCAGAGGGTAGGGGCAAACGAGGGGCCCTACCTCTTTATGTCTCCAGCGGCCATAGGGTGTAGTGGGTTTAGTTTCAGCCCACCCCACACTGGTCCTAGTGATTTTATTTATTATTATTACTATTATTTTCTTTAGAAAAAGAGCATCCTGAGTATTTCAAAGGGGTTGTCCGACTGGGTGTGCTCTGGGCTGCAAGGGTGGGACCCCTGGGCTGGGAGTGGTGGAACCTGGTGGTGGCATCAGCACTGAGTGGCCCACTGCCCCCGGGTCTCCCCACCCCCCTCTCTGACAGAATTCCAGCCCATCCTCCAGCCTGGTTTCTGGAAGCTCCCCACTGCCTGGACCCGCACCACTGCCTCCCTGGTGTATCCCAAGCTCGAGGCCCAGGACTCCTTCTCGGAGGAACACAGCGACCAGTGTCTGGTGCAGCTGCTGGGAACAGGGTGAGTGCCCCGGCTCCCCCAGCACCCAGGGCACCCCTCTCTGCCAGGCTCCCGTCCAGTCACTCTGCAGGTCCCTGACAGGGGTCACAAGCAGGGGCAGCCCTCCCCCACCCAGGACCTCGAGACACCCCTCCCAACCCCTTGTCCAGCCTTGTCCAGCCACCCCACCCCCCACCTGGGACTCCTGCCCACATCCTGACCCTCTCCTCATACCACAGGGAGTTTACAAAACCCCATATGACCACCCACCTCAAGCGACAAGCTTCCCGGTGAACCCCGACTCCTGCTGCCCTTCCAGGTTTCCAGGCCCCTTGGTCCAGCCCCTCTGGGCCTCTTTTCAGACCCTCAAAGGCACTTCTCCCTCCCTCACAGCCTGTGGGCCCCTCCACTCTGCCTCAGTGACTGCTCACACTGCAGGCCTGGCTCCAGTTTCCTTCTCCACAACCTTCTCTGACTCACTGCAGGAGGCGGCCTCTCAGGACATTTGTTCCGACTCCCCAGGGCTCGTAGGTCTGGGAAAGCAGGACCTGGCCCCTGTTCTGAAGTGGGTGTGGAGCCTCAGAAAGCGCAGCAGGAGCAGGGTGGCGCAGGGCGAGGGGGCAGAGGTGCCGGGGGGGGGGTCCCCATCCCCTGCTCTTCCCTCAGGGAGGGTTTGGGCCAGGTCACTGCTCCAGGACGACACCTGTGCCCCTTTTATCGGGAGACCTGGTACAGCAGAGCATGCGGCCAGACCCCAGTAGTCTGGGTGCAGGCACCTGCTGTTTAGGGGCAGTGCTGGGAAAGTCCTTCCCAGGTGTCCACGGGACCGTGGGAAATTGCAGTCCCAGCAACACCACCAGCCCAGGACAGCTCCAGGTCACCTCCCCTGTGCTGGGTGGGGTAGATTTAGCCCATGAAGATGCCTGTATCTCCCCTGGCAGCCCCTTGTGCCCAGCTTGGTGCCTGGATTCTGGGGGTAGGGAGATATTCTGGTAATTAGAGAAGACTCAGGTGGAGGAATGCCACGTCCTCAGCCTGGGTTCAATGCCGACTCCAGGCCCGATTCTCTTCTTCCCAGGACAGACAGCCACCAGCCCTGCAGGGTCTCCGACTTCTGCAGGACCCTCATGACCAAGCCCAGCTGCTGGGGCTACTCCCTGTCCCACCAGCTGCTCTTCTTCCTCATGGCCAGAATGGTGAGCACCCGTGGGGGCCACAGCCCGAGAAGGGGGATCATAAATGGTCGCCTGGCAGGGTGGTTGTGTACCCTGCACCAGGAAAGTAAGCAGGAGTGTGGGCCTCGCTTGGACGTCAGGAGAGAAGGGGAGTGGCAATGGATTGGTGAAGAAGGGAGTGGGGTCCTGTTGGACAGAGAGCTTTCTCTGCGTGCTGAACTGGGTCATGGGGCGGTGGGGGGCAGATCAGCAGCAACAAATAGAGCAGGACTTAGAACAAGTCCCTTCCTAGAGGGTGAACCCAGACCCCCAGACCGGCCCCGGCTCCCCAGCACCCAAGCTCTAGCAAACCCAAGATTTCAAACTTTGCCAAATAACCATCATCATCTTAAAACATGTCTATTTCTTTATGTAGAAACTAGGGTTTGTTGTCTCTGTTCAAAAAGGTTATTCACACATCAGTATTGTCGTGAAGATAATAAGAACCAAATAACAAGGAAAGTTATTTGATGGTTAAATTCAGCAGGTAGGAAGTGACTCCAGCACACGGCTGGAGAAGTTTCTCGAGCCTGCTCGCACCCCCAGTTCTCTCCCAGCACCAGTCCCCAGCCCACACTGGAGTAGTGCTCCAGCTGCCCTCTGGGTTCGGGTTCGGGGTTCATCTGCAATCAGAATGTAGTGGCAGCCACAGGGCTGCAGTGTCCTCCCTAGTCATGGCTGCCCCTTCAGTGCAACTCCCAGCAGCATCTGGAAGCATCTGGAGGCTCAGAAAGGCCGACTGAGCAGCCTGATCCCACAGCTCCTGCATGGGGGAGCGGGGCCTAGAACCCTGCCACCCGCCCCCAGACAGAGCCCCAACTGCTGGGAGTGTGGGTGGGGACCAAGAGGTGGGGGAGGGAAAGGATCTGCAGCACAGGCAGCCATTTGCAAGGCACCCCGTATTGGCGTGCATCTGCCATCCCCACCACCGATTTCCTGGTCTCCCGGTGTTTGCTCCCCCAGAAGGGCTGCACAGAGGGGCTGTTCTTCCAGAGCCAGAGCTACATGAGCCGCTTCTGCGCCAACATGATGGACCTGAACCACAGAGTGGAGGCCGTGGGATATGCCTACCCCGTGCGGGACATCTTTATGGAGAACAGTGGGTCCCGCGGCCCCCCAGACACGCATGCGCACACAGTAGGCCTGCCAGAGCTAGCAAGGGAAAATACAGATGCCCAGTGAAATGTGAACTTCAGATACACGTTGAATACATTTTTAGGGTCAGTGTATCCCAAATACCGCATGGGCGATACTTACGCTCTTCAATGTTTGCCTGTCGTGCGTAGAAACGCAAACTGAGCTGGCATCTGTGTTTAGCCTGCCACTGTGTGCCCGCGACGGAGCCCCGCGTGGGGTTATAGATTACTGGCCGCAGACAGACCCTCAAGGCCTTGGATGGGAGGCAGAAGGGGGTCCCTAGTGACTGCCTCTTGGTGTGGCTCTTCAGTTCCCTCCACTGACCCTGATTCTTGAGTGGCCCTGACCCAGGCCCTCCATGGGGGGCAGACCCTGGGCGGGGAGCCCCACTCACTGGGGCAGTGCCCAGGCTGCCTCCTTCCAGACCCCAGCTGCATGCCCACCTCGCATGCAGCCTTGCCCTGGGAGGTGGCGGGCGGCGTCATAGGGGCCAAGGGGTGTTGGGGGAAGCAGGCCTGAGGGCCACCCACAGAGACCCCCCATCTTTACTTCCAGTCATGTTCTGTGGAATCAGCGGCTTCTCAGACTTTTACAAACTCAAGTGGCTGGAGGCCATTCTTGGCTGGCAGAAGCAGCAGGGGTGCTTCGGGAGACCTGGTAAGCGGGGGCAGGGGCAAGAGGGAGGGCAGGGAGGACTGGTGCCCAGGGTGTGAGAGAGATTTGCTGTCCCCATGCAGGCACATGCACCGTGCATGCACACACGCGCACACACACACACACACAACTTTGGAGGCCACAGCTTTGCCAGTGGGAGGCTGTCTTGGAAGGTGCAGGCCTGTCCCTGCATTAACAGACCTTCAGTGAGTGTCCTCCGAGCACCTTCCATGGGCCAGGTGCTGCTCTAGGCTCTGGGGAAAGCAGGGCTCTCAGGAAAAGAGGCAGAAACCATCTAAACAATCCCCTGAAGAAATAGTCACGGGTCCTGATCCGGGCCACCGGGGGTGAGAGCGGGCTGAGAAAGAAGCACCCTTGGGAGAAGGTCCTCTAGGAGGGGTGAGAGGAGGTGGGGCTGCCCCCACCAGGCGTGTGACACTTGGCCACTGGCCCCTTTGGCATGAGTCACTTCTCTCTGAGCCTCAGTTTCCCCTCCTGCAGAGGGGGCTGCAATGGATGCTGCGGGTTTTTTTTTAAGATTTCTTTTATTTATGCATACAAGAGCTGGGGTGTCAGCCAGAGGTACAGCGGGTGAGAGGACTCACCAGAGGCAGAGCGGGGAGCATAACAGGTGGATCCACTGAAATCCACTGCTGAGGGGAGCAGTAGGAGACAGGAGAGGTCTGCTGCGCCATGTGGGTAGCTCCCTGGCTGGGGATCAAACTCAGACTGCAGTGGCTGGCGAGAGCTTCATAGAGCTGAGACTTAACCCCTGCGCCACTAGGGAGACCCCTGGATGATGCATTTTTAAGGGGCTGCTCTGGCCCTCCTGATGCAGGTGCGGGGGGTGGGGGACGCAGAGCTATAGCCTGAGAATTCTCAGTAGGCAAGAAAGTTAAGTCCTGTGGAAGGGTCTGCAGACAGGTATGCAAGGAAGCTTCTGGAAGCACCTCCAGGCCAAGGGCAGCCCTGAGCTGCTTGGGGGTGGGAAGGGAGGTTTAGAGAGTAACGTTTCAAAACCTGCCTGAGAAGTTTCCTTTGCTGTCCCCAACCCCTGAGGATGCAGAGTTCCCTGAACCCGCTCAACACCAACAGCATCTTTTGAGAAGAGTGAAGAGGCGAGAAAAACAATTTATAGGTAAAGAAAATGCCCGGGGGACCGAGACCCCGAGAAAGGTGGCTCCAAAGGACAGGAGGTGGCTGTTCTTTTCCTTGCTGCACACACCCTTGGAGCAGGGGCTGCGGTGTAGACCAAGGCAGAGGATTTGAAGTCCTGCTCTTTAGGCTGAGGCACTGCTGACCCCTTCCGACTACGAGTTGTAGAATCTCTCTGAGCCCGTTTCCTTCTCTGTAAAGTGGGGGCCAAGCAGCGCTGGCAGGGTTAATATCAGCTCCTGATACGTTTGGCATGTGGAAGGCCGCGTCAGTGTGGACGGCAGGCTGGCTGATCAGGCTCCTGAAATCCGCCTTCCCCTCCCTCCAAGGGCCGTGCTAGGCCCTTCCCTTCGCCAAGTCTGTGGGCACAAAGTCCTGGCTCCCGGCACCTGCTGGACCCTACAGGTGGGCGGCCGCTTGGAATCCAGAGTTAAGTGACATCTACGGGGTTATCGAGTCAGGCAGGTGCTTGGGAATCCAGGGGATCGGGCAGGCCCGATCCAGGTAGCAATGAGGTCATCAGGGTCAAGAAATGGGGTGTGGGCTCCCAGGACTGGGGAGCTCGGCTCTGCCACCTGAGCCTCAGTTTTCCCACCTGTAATACAGGGACTGCCTAGAAGGCCTGAGAGTGAAAGGGAGCCGCTGGGGCCCCAAGCGGGCTGGGCAGAATCTGGAAAGCACGCCCGGTGGGACCATGGTGGTCACCTGGCACCCCCTGGGGACGTTCCCTCCCCAGATGGCTGCTCCTCCCACAACACAGCCACGGCCGTGGCAGCCCTGGGTGGCTTCCTCTACATCCTGGCCGGGTACCCGCTAGCCAGCGGAGAGCCGTGGCAGGCGTCGCCAGCACCCCCCGCGGAGGGCCAGCTCCGCACCTACCACCCGCCTGCAAAATGAAACAGAAGCCTCCGGCCCCTCCTGCCTCAAGGCCTGGGTCACACCGGAAGAGGAACAGCTGGAGAAACAGATGAGCGAGGCTGCCGAGCGGCATCCCCTCTGGGGAGCGGGGCTGGGGGGCTGGGGCTGGGGGGCATGCGTGCCTGGGAGCAGATGAATAAATGGAGAACAGTGGAACCGGGGTTGAGTCTTCTTTCTCAGCCCTCAGACAACTATGGCTCCGTTTCCAGCCTCAAACCCACACAACCCAAATTCTAACGAGACCCATGAACTTTAGTCTCAAAGACGGTTTGCTCAGATGTCCGCTGTGCGTCTTCATTTGGGGAATAAGAGCCCCTGAAAAAAGACAGTTCAAGTCCTGGCCTAGAGCTGGAGAGAGGGCCTTGAGAGGCAGCACAGAAGGCCTGAATCCCATGCAGGGAGCTCTGGTATCTGTTTTATTTAAAGATTTATTTATGCACGCATGCAAGAGCTGGGGTACAGGCCAGAGGTGTGGGAGATGAGAGGATCCACCAGAGACAGAGTGAGGAACAGAACAGGCAGACTGACCAAAGTACACTGCTGAGGGGAGCCACAGGGAGACAGGAGAGGTCTGCTGCGCTGTGTGGGTCAGCTCCCTGGCCAGGGATTGAACTCAGGCTGCAGTGGCTGCGGATAGCTTCACAGTGCTGTGCTTATCCCCTTGCGCCACCAGGAAGGCCCCTCTGGTATCTTTATGTCACGTCAAGTCTCTGTTGTGTCACTTTACAGAAGGCAGAATAGTCTAATGATTAGCGGTGTGGTTCTGTGTCCAGGCTACCTGAGTTCAAACCCCAGGTGCCGCACGAACAGGCTCCAGTCCTGGGGCAGAGTCATGGAGCATCTCTGTGACTCAGTTTCCCCATCTGGACAACTAGGGTCGTTGTAGCACCTTCCTCAGTGTTGCCTCCACATGGTGAGGATTACATAGAGTCCTGAGAGCGCGAACTTTAATTCTGAGTGACAGGAAGTGCTCCCTGCCACGGTGGTGGCCATGTTAGCTGGGGACTGGTATAGCCCAGAAGGGACAGCTGATCCATGCAGGTTTCTCTCATTCCCAACGTATAGCCAGCTCTTCCCGTGGCCAGCCTCAATCTGACTGGCCCCATGTGCCGCTGGCCCTTTGACACTAGTGTTTGAATAAGGACATGGATTCTTATTTTGGGCCAGGTGCTAAAGACAGATAATAGGTTTGGAAAAAAAAAAAAACAGCTAAAACCCAGTCCTTGGGCTGGAAGGCTTTTCAAGTCTATCATCTTACTTTGCCTCAAAATAGAAAATAGCAGGGCCTCCCTGGTGGTGCAAGGCGTTAAGTCGCAGCACTGTGAAGCTCTCCACAGCCTCTGCAGCACGAGTTCGACCCCCGGACAGGGAGCTACCCCCAGGGCACAGCAGACCTCTCCTGTCTCCCCCACTGCTCCCCTCAGCAGTGTATTTCAGTCAATCTGTCTGTTCTGCTCCCCACTCTGTCTCTGGTGAATCCTCTCACCCCCCACACCTCTGGCCTGTACCCCAGCTCTTGCATACATAAATAAGTCTTTAAAAAATAATAAATAAATCTTTAAAAAAAATAAAATAGCAGCCAACCATCCATCTGGGACAATTTCGTCACATGAGAATGAGTTAAAACATCTTCTGTTCCTTCTGTGCCCTGCTGGACAACACAGCCCCCTCTCCCTAATCCTCTTTGCTGCTGCTCTGGCTGCTTTCCTGCCAGCGCTTAAGTTGCCAGGCCCAGTGGGGCAGGACACTTCTGGATTTGTTCACGGGTCTGAATTGCTTCCAAGGGGGAGTTTCCTTGGAGACCCAGGAGCCAGAACTTAATACCTACCTGGCACTCTATAGGTTTCAAGGGTTCGTCCACATTACTCGGAAAATGTTTCCCAAGACTGGCACCCAGCCTCGAGGGAAATCGGGGCACATGAACGGATTAGGGGGAATTACACCCCACTCCACCCTTCCTGAGTTTGGGATGGATTAGTCTCTGGAGTCTGACAGCCTTTCATGGCTACAAGATTTAAATGCCATTAGGAGAAATCTGCCAAAGGAAAATGAAAGACAAAATGGGACATGGGGTGGGGGGAGGGCCTCCCTGCTGGCCTAGGGGTTCAGTCTCAGCACTATCACCACTGCGGCATAAGTTCAATGCTCCGCCAGGGAGCTGACCCACAGGACGCAGCAGACCTCTCCTGTCTTCCTGCTGTTCCCCTCAGTAGTGGATTTCTTTTTTTTTTTTTAAAGATTGATTGATTGATTGATTGATTGATTGATTGATTTATACATACAAGCACTGGGTACAGTCAGAAGCGCAGGAGGGTGAGAGAATTCACCAGAGCCAGAGCGGGGAGCAGAACAGGCAGAAGGACCGAAGGACACTGCTGAGGGGAGCAGCGGGCGGCAGGAGAGGTCTGCGCGCCATGTGGGACCCTCCTCTGGTGGCCAGGGAGCAGCCGGAGATCGAACTGGTGCTGCAGAGGCTATGGGCAGCTTCGCAACCCAGCGCTCAACCACTGCGCCACCGGGGAGGCCCTCAGTAGTGGATTTCAGTAGATCAGCCTGTTCTACTCCCCACTCTGTCTCTGGTGAATCCTCACACCCCCACACCTCTGGCCTATACCCCAGTTCTTGTATGCATAAATAAATAAATAAATCTTTTAAAAAATAAATAATAAAAAGGGACTTTAGCTTTAAAAAGGAAAAAAATGGGGCATGGGAAGAAAATCTCACAAGATGAGCCCCACAGGAGCCATCACTTCTTTGGACCTGAGCTGCCACAGGAAAGGAGCCACAAAGAGCAGCGTGAGTCTGCACCACCGCCCACTACCGCCCCCTGGGAGCTCAGCTTCTCACTGAAGACAAGTCGTGTGGAGGTGGCGCTATGTCACCTGCATCCTGAAAGTGGTCGTTCCACCTGTCACGGCTGGCTACCTCCCTGGAGGAGCTTCTCAATATGTGGCCTGTGGTTGCCTGCATCGAATCACCGGGGATCTTGTTAAGCAAGCAGAGTCCCCAGCCCTGCCCCAGAGTCCCATTTGGCCTCCAGGGGGAGCCTAGGAACCTGCGTCTTTGACAAGCTCCAGGGGACACTGCTGTTTGCCAAGGCTGAGAACAGCTGCGTCCCGGGGCCTGGACCTGAGACAGTGGCCCCCGCCTCATCTGCACAACGTCCAGGCCCGTGCCGTGTCCTGCCCTGGGAACACAGTGCCCCGAGGGTGCTCTCACCTGTGCCAGCCGGTGCCGGGACCCACACACAGCTCTGCTGATCTCAGTGAAAGGAGGTCACACTGCTCACCGCCCCTAAAGGGACCTTGGCAGCTGGTATGGGCTGAGTTGTGTCCCCAACTTCACGTGTTGAAGTCTAGCCCTCAGGTGCCTCAGAACATGACTTCATTTGGGAAAAAGTTTTTATTTTTATTTTTTTAAGATTTATTTATTTATACAAGAGCTGGGGTACAGGCCAGAGGTGCAGGAGGGTGAGAGGATTCACCAGAGACAGAGCGGGGAGCAGAACAGGCAGATGACCGAAAACCCTGCTGAGGGGAGCAGCGGGCAAGACAGGAGAGATCTGAGGCACCATGTGGGAATCTCCCTGGCTTGCCGGGAATAGAACCCGCACTGCATAGGCTGCAGACAGCTTCACAGTGCTGCACTCAACCCGCTGTGCCACCAGGGAGGCCCCAGGGAAGAAGTTTTTAAAATGAGGTCATGGGGGATCCTAATGCCCTATGCCTGGTGTCCTTAAATCTGGACACAGATGGTCACACAGGAGCACCACGGAGTTCGGGGTGGGTCTCCTTTAGGACAGAGAACACTGAAGCAGAAACTAACAGAGGAACTTTCCCAGTAGCACATCACAACAAACCATATCCCCAAGTGCCTAGGAATTCACCCATTCATTCAATAGACCCCACGGGGGCCAAGGCTGGTGTCTCTCTGGAATATTCTTCTCTTGATGTCCACATGGTGCCCTTCCCTAGATGTCCCAGTCTCAGCTCAAACATACCCTTTTCATGTCACTGTCTTCCTTCCCCCACGACAATACACCTCCCTGCAGGAACCCGTCCTTGGCCATGCCCGAATTTGTTCCAGCAGGGCCATCGCCAGACACAGGTACGTATTTGTTTGTGGCCTTCACTGGGTGGCGAGCTCCAGGAAAATTTGGATTTTTCCACTACAGTCCCTCACCCTCTGGGACATGGACGTTCAAAAGATATTTGTTGGGTGAATCAGATGAATGATGTGCCTGCCACTGACTCAAGCACTGTCCGTGGATCGCCTCCTGTGATGCGCACTGGTGCAGAGTGCAGGGAAAAGTAGACATGGCCTTTCCCTTGCAGAGGCAGAGGTCAAGGTGGGGCGGGCTTAGGACACGGTCATGGGCGAGCAGACCACGCTCAGGCTGGACACACATTTTATTCTTTCCCTCCATGGGTAAATACGTGCTGGTGTGTGAACGCTGCTCATGTTTCTAGATTAGTGGAGGGAACACCAAGATGTTTGCTATATCCCCTGCCCTCCCCAGAGAACCTGAGAAAAAGCTAATCAGCCACGGAAGCGGCATCTTCAGGAAATGCATGCCCGGAGCCAAGGAGGATGTAAGAGCTGCCAGTGTGTGGACCAGGCAGCACAGCCAGCCCCATCCAGGCTTAAAACTCTGCAGCTGTTTTCTGTTTTCAGGGTCCTGTTTCAGGACCCTGTTTTCAGGGTCCCTCCCAGACCCTGCTCTCAGCCCTGGGCAACCCGCATCTGCTTTCTGGCTCCCCAGATTTGCCTGTCCCAGACATCCGATACAAATGGGATCACACCACAGAAATATCAGATGTGATGAAACGTCCTGAAAGTCGATTGAGGTGATGCTGCCTCAGCGCTGTGCATTTATGGAAAAAAAACACCATCCACTGTACACTACAAGCAGGTAAATCTTACGGCAAATCAATGAAACGGCCTAAAAATAAATAAGTAAATCTTCCAGCTGCCTCCTGTTTCACAGGAGGGGAAATCCCACTAGGCTCCTGGAGCCCAGCAGGAGTTGGCATTTGCCTGGCGAGCCCCTCCCACCCACACCCCCTTTTCTCCTCCAGGGCTGATCGCCTCCAGGCTCCACAGCGCCCTCTTCCTGCAAATCCTGGCCCCGTCACCCCACAGCAACCCCTTCTGTTCCCATCCTCAGGTCCAGACAAGGCAAGAACATGGAAGGAGGGAGAAGACCAGAGGTCAGAACTCTGGGAGACGGCCTGCCACCCACCCCTTCTAGCTGGTGCAGACAAAAGAGGACATTAGAGGTCAGGGAGTTGTTTGCTGGTGAATTCTAGGAACTAGATGCAAAGATCAGAAAGACATAATCCCTCCACATCAATGCATTAGCCTTAGAACAGGGTGTTTTTAATGTGATTAACTGAGGAGGACCAACTGTGGTTGCCCCACAGGCCCATGTGAGGTCTCTGACCTTATTAGTTTTAAAATTAAGATGTCGGCACTGCCATGGTCTCTGAAGGCTGGAGTGAAGACAGCCGTGTGCTTGTCTCCCAGCTTCTGGTGTGGCCGGCTGTCCTTGGCGTTCCTTGGCTTCTAGCGACATCCCTCCAGCCTCTGCCTCCATGTACTTTTCCCCTGTGTGTGTCTCTGTCTCTCCTCTCTTCTTATAAGGACACCAGCCCCGCTAGATTTAGGCCCACCCATGCCATATGATCTCATCTTAACTAATCACCTCTGTAAAGATCTTATTTCAGATCTGATTCAGAAGTTCTGGGAAGGATGTGGATTTGGGGCTGTTAGCGGGGACAGTATGTCCTGAATGGGCTCTACCCACAGATGTTTTATGGACACCATCCCCCAACCCCGTGCCAAAGAGATCCCATGTGCCAAGGACTACAACTCCCATCATGCTATGAATCTACCATGACTTCACTTCTTGAAGTGGGGGATTGCTGGGAACTGAGGGTGGAGTTAAGCAGCCATGCTCAATAGAGGAGGAAGGACGTGTGGTTGCAGGAAACTTGGTTTTGCCTGTCTTCAGCGTGCACCTGTGTCCCAGCTCAGGCCGCATTACTGGTAGGACATTACCTCTCTCATTCTCTGTGCACCCCCACTTTTCGTTTCTCTCCTAAACAAACCTTTTATTAACCTTTCTGTCTGCCTGCCCTTGGGTCTTGTTCTGAGGGGTTTTTTTTAAGCTCATGGGTGAGGACTCACACCCAGGCCATCCCATTTCCCTTTGGGGTTGCCCTGTAATAGGGGGACACTGTCCACATATTATAGGGCAACCCCGATATAAAACGGGTTGCCTGACTGTGGGTCCTCACCCAGGCGCTTAAAAGAGACTTATTAATGCTCAACTGCAGGCACACAAAAAAGGTTAATAGAAGGTTTATGTACAAGGGAAGGGGAACGAGGAAATGTACAACTCAGGGAGAAAAGAGGGAGATAAAGTCTTACCCGTTCCACCAACCTGGAATCCCAAAGGCACAAAGCCAAGAGAGCCCCCAAGATCCAGGTGTCTGGTTTTATACCAACCCTGGCAGCTTAACTCCGCCCTCAGGTTCCAGCAACCCTCCCTCTGGTGATGATGGGATTTGTCATTTCCAGTGTCTTGATGGCTTTGGTCTGGAGTGGGGGTGGAGTCCACAAAGCCTGGGTGGAATTAGCTCAGGACATCCTTTCCCCTAACACACACAGCACACTGATTCTGGTGAGGTTTCTGAGCAGTGATTCAAAGAGGGGCCTGAGTTGGCGCACTCAGGGTGCAGACTGTGGGTGGAAAGGGCTGGCCGGGCTCAGGATACCCAGCGCAACAAAGGCCAAGCAGATTTGCCCTTCCTCTTGCAGTGAGGTAGTACACTGGCACCCAAACACCCCCAAACCTGGGCACGGCCCCTGGAGTGGAGCCTGAAGACATGGTCTCAAAGAAAGGCTGAAGCACTTGCTGCAAAATAACCTCAGCTTCAGGGGCTCCTGACTGCAAGCGCCTGGCGCATGCACAGAGGGGCTGCTCTTGCTTTAACACTTCTTAAAGTTCTTTTTTCTACAAGGATCCTCATTTTTATTTTGCACTGGATTCCACAAATTATGTAGCTGACCAGCTCCTAAACTGCCAATGGGGACAACAGGAAAACGTGAACGTGAGCTGTGGGCCAGTTAGCTAAGTAGTAGTGTTAACTCGGGTTGCCTGGCTGTGGGTCCTCACCCCCGCACTTAAAAGGGACTTAGTAATACTCCACTGCAGGTGCACACAAAAGGTTAATAAGAGGTTTATTTACAAGGGAAGGGGAAATGAGGAAATGTACAACTCCGGGGAAAAAATAGGGAAATAAAGTCTTTAATGCATCCTACCCGATCCACCGACCTGGAAACCCAATGGCACTCTGAGAGCTGGCCAAGCGCTGCAGCTGGCGCAGAGCCAAAAAGGGAAACCCCCACCCCCAAAGCTCACGTGTCTGGTTTTATACCAAACCTGGCTGCTTAACCCCACCCTCAGGTCCCACCACCCTTCCCTTTGGTGGTGACGGTATTTGTCTTTCCCAATATCCTGATGGCTTTGGTGTGGAGTGGGGATGGAGTCCACAAAGTCTGTATGGAATTAGCTTTAGGACATCCTTTCCCCCTAACAGTAGGACTTTATCAAGGGGACGTGTCCCAGGCTTCCTTGCCTTATGGCGTATGGCCAAGGAAGTGTTGCCCATAGCACTAAAGAGGCGCACGCTCAGCTCTACTGCCAGAGACTCCTGACAGCAGGAGGAGGTCCAAGGGAGGAGCCCGCTGCTAGGGTGTTGGTTTCCTTTTTCGAGGGCTTCTGGGGACTCTCCACCGCTCTCAGAAGCTCCCGGGAGCTTTTCATCTACTCTGGGGTACTTTTCCACTGGCCTAATTCGCCTCATTGCCCTGTTTTGTCACCCAGAGGCGTGAAGCGACCACAAGCGCCGCCCTTCCGCACACCTCGCCCGCGGCTGCCCTCGCCCGCGGGCGCCCCGCCCCGTCCTTCAACAGGGAGGCCAAGGCTCTGATGTCCACCCCTTGGAAGTGATGAGGTCAGCAACGGTCCAGGGGGAAAGCGCATGTGAATAAAGCCCAAGTGGTAAAGATCCTGGCGGCAGAGCGCGCGACAGGAAGCGCCAACACGCGCTCCAGGGCAGGTCTCCGCACCTCCCGCAGGCCAGAGACGCCAGGACCCGGCGAGGTTCCCGCCACCACCCGATACCCGCCCCCAGACGCGCGCGAGGCGGAGGCCCGGGCCTCGCGATGCCTGGAGGAGGCTAAACAAGCCCCAGCGGAGCGCCGCGGGCGGAGCCTGGGGTCACGTGGGCGCGAGCACGTGACGCGAGGCCCGCGTCCAACATGGCGGCCCCCATGGGTCGCGGGCTCCTCTTCCTCTTGGCGCTGCTCGGCTTCCTCGGAGAGGCGTCCGGCGACTTCAGCGCGCGGTGAGTACAGCTCCGGGGAGCGGGCCTGGGTCGGGGTGCCCCCTCCGCGGCCCGCGCCCCGCGCTCACGGCCGCCCGCCGCCCGCAGGGCCTCCCGCGAAGACGACGTGCTGCTGCCCTACTTCGGCGTGCGCGCGCGCCCCACCCGGGACTGCGCCCGGGTGCGCGCCGGCAGCCGCGAGCACGAGAGCTGGCCGCCGACCCCCGCGACCCCCGGGCCCCGCGGCGCCGCCGTGCGCACCTTCGTGTCGTACTTCGGGGAGCGCGCGGTGACCGGCCACCTGACGCGCGCCGCCGAGCCCCTGCGCGTCTTCTCCGTGCTGGAGCCCGGCGGGCCCGGCGGCTGCGCGTCGAGGCGCCGCGCCACGGTGGAGGAGACGGCGCGGGCGGCCGGCTGCAGCGTCGCCCAGAACGGCGGCTTCTTCCGCATGGAGTCGGGCGAGTGCCTGGGGAACGTGGTGAGCGACGGGCGGCGGGTGAGCAGCTCCCGGGGGCTGCAGAACGCGCAGTTCGGGATCCGCCGCGACGGGACCCTGGTCACCGGGTGAGGAGGCGGGGAGCCCCGTGACTGTAGGAGGTAGCGGGCCGGAGATTTGGGTTGTAGCTGTGCCACCGCGTTCAAGTCACCTCACCTTTTCCTCATCTGCAGCCTGGGGAGAGTAATGCCTTTTCTGCAGAGTTTTGACCATTTAGTATCTTGGAGCTTCTCTTTGTGCACCGGGGATGTAACAGCGAACAAGCATACCAGCTTTGCCCATTACTAGAAAAATTAAAGTCAGGGAAGTAGTTATGATAATTCAGGTGTGGTGGGGGGGAGGGTGTAATTAACAATAAACAGCGTGAACCTGTTGTAAAGAGTGTTGCATTTTAGAGAGGATGAGTAGTAAAGGCTTGACTGAGATTTAAAGATTCATCACAAGTCAGCCAAGGTCAGAACTGGAGGAAGAGCATTGCAGTCAGGAGGAAGAGCAAGTGCTAAGGCTCAGGTGTAGAGGGACTGTCCCCTGAAGTAAGTGACCCTCACACCTTCTCTGTGTTCAGGTATCTATCTGAGGAAGAGGTGCTGGACACCGAGAATCCCTTTGTGCAGTTGCTCAGTGGTGTCGTGTGGCTGATTCGTAATGGAAGCATCTACATCAATGAGAGCCAGGCTACCGAGTGTGATAAGACCCAGGAGACAGGTGTGTTGAGGGGCTGGGAAGTCCACAGCAGCCTTCCTGGGCCTATTCTTAGTCTCTCAGCAAGTACTCTTATTGGTATTAGAGATTTAGGACAGGTAAGATTCTTGTTCTCATGGAATATATATGACAGGAAATGTGTATTTAGCATGCTGAAAAGAAGTGGCAAGCACTAAGAAAGAAAAAGTTGGGGGAAGGAATAAAGGAGGCAAAGAGCTCGAGGGGAGGGATAGGGCAGTGTTGTAAACGCTGGTGGATCCTCATCAGCATCACCCAGGAGCTCGTTATAAATGCAGAATTTTATGGAACCAGAATCCTTGAGGGTGAGGTCCGAGCCTCTGTGTTTGAATGGGCCCTCTGGCTGAGCTAATAGACACTTGAGTTTGGAACCCCTGGGATGTATACCATCTGGAATACCAGAGCTGGAAAGGGATGCAGTGGTCCTAAGGTAGAAACTGGCTATTTTATTTTATTTTTAAACATTTATTTATGCTGGGGTGCAGAGGGGTGTGGGGGTGAGAGAATTTACCAGAGACAGAGTGGGAAGCAGAATAGGCAGATTGACTGAAATACACTGCTGAGGGGAGCAGGGGGAGACAGGAGAGGTCTGCTGCGCCCTGTGGGTAGCTCCCTGGCCGGGGATGGAACTCATACTGCAGTGGCTGCGAATAGCTTCATAGTGCTGAGACTTAACCCCTTGCGCTACCAAGGATGCCCCAAAACTAGCTGTTTTGGAGCCAGCAATCAAGGACGGCCTCAGTGAGGAGGTGACTGACAGAGGAGCAAGCCATGGGAGGAACTGGGGAGAAGCCCAGTTCACAGAGGGAACAGAGAATGTCTGCTAGGTGGAGAGAGGGGAGCCCGGGAGAGGCAGTAGACGAGCAAGCAGGGTGGTCCTGGCCTCGCTGGGGTGTTTGGGTTTTGGTCTGAGACGTGTGTGATGTGATTCACACTTAAGAGCCTTTGGGCTGCGTGAAGGATTCCCTGACTGGGCTGGAACAGGGAGCTGCTGGTTGGTGAGAGGGCGTCAGACTGGCAGAAAGTGGCCTGCAGAGCCAGGAGTTCCTAAGGACCAGGCCATTGATGCACTGCTTCTCCCTTAGGTTCCTTTAGCAAATTCGTGAACGTGATATCAGCCAGGACGGCTGTGGGCCATGATCGGAAGGGGCAGCTGGTGCTCTTCCATGCAGATGGGCAGACAGAGCAGCGGGGGTGAGTGCGGAACCAGCCTCAGCGGCTAGTCTGAGTCCTGCTTTGAGGAATTACAGCCACTGGCAGCCACTGCCAGACCCCAGATGCTCCTGGGGATGTCACAGTGTCCTCTGTCTGTTGTCCCATGGGAGGAGGGTGCCTAGGTCTGTCCTTCTTCCAAGGACTCATTAGGCACCGCGCACTTGCTCTTGGTTTCCCCACTTAGGCGCCTCCCTCCTGAACCCTAATTGGGGTAAAAGAAGATGAGCACAAAGTTGGCAGGGGGCACCCGGGTTCCGACCCCAGCGTTCCCCAGCTAGCCCTGTGCCCCAGACAAGTCACTCCATCTCTGAGCCGCGGTCTTTTCCTCTGTGAAGAGCGGGCATTGGTTTGCCGTTGCTGTGTGACAGATTCGCACAAACAGCTGCCAGCAGATCTCAGCTCCGAAGGGCAGAGTCCGAGGGCTCACTGGGCCTGCGCAGCATCCCAGGGACAGGTTCTGGCAGTTGCTGGGCAGGATGCTTCGAGGGGAGTGGGTGGGGTCCTTGGCTCACCTCTGTCATTGGCAGGTGTTCCTTGCTGTTGTAGGACTGAGGTCTCTCAGTGGGGGACCTCACTCAGTGCCCACATTCCTTCTCATAGACGTGCCCCCACCCCTTCAAGTGTACGTCGAACCTCTGTGTACCCCCATGCTCTGTTTCTAGTATCCCTCATCTCCCCTCCCCTGCCACCAGCCAAAGAAAACTCTGCTTTTAGGGGTGCTTTCCACAGACTCGCCCTGATAACCCTGGATAGTGTCCCACTTGCGGGAAGCTGAGCCACATTGGTGACACAGTCGCGTATTGGTCACGTGTCTCGTTAGGTTCGGGGGCTGGAATGGAACCCCTTTGCAGTGGACACGACGCTGTCCACGGGATAATGAAGGGATAATGGTCTTGTGCGCAGCATTAACCTGTGGGAGATGGCAGAGTTCCTGCTGAAACAGGACGTGGTCAACGCCATCAACCTGGATGGGGGCGGCTCTGCCACCTTTGTGCGCAACGGGACCTTGGCCAGTTACCCGTCAGATCACTGGTAAGCGCGCCAGAGCCCCCTGGCTGAGGGTCCAACTCCAGGCCTGTCCCCCGACTGTCTGCATACATACTGAGTACCTGCTGTGTGCCAAGCCCTGGGGGCCCGGTGTGACCTCGCTGCCTACCGGGCTATGTGGCATGTTCCATCACCACCCATTTGGTGGGGGGGGGGGTTCATTCAGGAGATCTCTGAGGAGAGTGAAGTTGTGCTGAGCTCTGAAGGACATGGTGGCTAGGCAGGCACGGCGAGAACAGCTTGTGCCAAGGCCCTGGGATGAGGAAGACAGAAAGAACCAATAAAATGGCTCTTCCCAGAGAAGTGGGGGCAGAGTCTGCCTTCCTAGGTGGCACTTGGGGGCTGGAGGTGCCGACCTGGGCCCCTCTTCACAAACTATTCTCTCTGCAGCCAGGACAACATGTGGCGCTGTCCCCGCCACGTGTCCACTGTGGTGTGTGTGCACGAGCCCCGCTGCCAGCCGCCGGACTGCAGTGGCCACGGGACCTGTGTGGCAGGGCACTGCCAGTGCACAGGGCATTTCTGGCGGGGTGCCGCCTGCGACCGACTGGACTGTGGCCCCTCCAACTGCAGCGGGCACGGGCTTTGCACTGAGAGTGAGTGGGGGCTCTGGGGAGGCAGCGCACAGGGCATTTCTGGCGGGGTGCCGCCTGCAACCGGCTGGACTGCGGCCCCTCCAACTGCAGCGGGCACGGGCTTTGCACTGAGAGTGAGTGGGGCTCTGGGGAGGCAGCGCTGCTGGGCGCCCAGCTCACATGGCCCTGCCCTGCCTGGATCCTCACCTGCCTTCTATCTTGTCTTGGCAGCTGGCTGCCGCTGCGAGGCCGGATGGACAGGAGCCAACTGCAGTGAAGGTAAAAGCCACGAGTCAGCCCCCCCACCCTGGCACATGGCGGTGGGGTTAATGTGCTAGGGCCACCACAGAATGCACAGACCCTCAAAGGGTGTGCTGGGTCCTGCCCCCAGTGGCTTAAAACAGAAATTTACTTTTAGTTCTGGAGGCCAGGACTCTAAAATCAAGGTGTGGGCAGGGCCTCCTTCCCTCAGAAAGGCAGGGAGGATCCTTCCTGCCTCTTCCAGGCCCTGGCGGCCCCTGGCATTCCTTGGCTTGCGGCCACCTCCCTTTACTCTCTGCCTCTGCAGTCACATGGCCATCTCCCCTGTCTTCAGCCCCCTCCCATTCTCTCACCCCAGGTCACTGGATTAGGACAACTTTATATCCAGAGTGATCTCATCTCGAGATCTTTAATGATGTCTGCAGAGACCCTATTTCCAAATAAGGTCATGTTCACAGATTCCAGGATAAGGTCCTGTCTTTTGGGGGGACTCAGTTCCATCCTCTGCACCCACCATCCAAGGCATCAAGCCTTCCATAGCTGCCTAACTCCTTGCTATGGTGACCTGCCAGGGCCCCACGCCTGGCCCCTGCCCTCCCCCACGTGGTCTCTCCCGCCAGCCCTCCTCCTGAGTGGGCATTCTTGCCTCCTGGTCCCGCTCCCTGAAGAAATGTCCCCACAAGGGCAAGGCTCAGCACCTGGCAGAGTAGGTTCCCTAATTCTGTGGTTAGGAGAATATGTGAACCCACAGAGCTATTTGGGGTGCCCACAACCTGCAGCCCCAGTGGGCCCCCAGCTGGGAGGGGCAGAGCCAGATTTGAAAGACCTGCTTTCTCCATCCCAGCCTGCACCAATGGCTCCTTCGGCCAGGACTGTGCCCGCAAGTGTCTGTGTCGCAACGGAGCCGCCTGCGACCCCGTCCAGGGGACCTGCTCCTGTCCCCCTGGCTTTACTGGAGACACCTGTGAGCAGGGTAAGGCCCCTGGCTGGGCACACCAGGAACCGTGCTCTCCACACAGGCCCTGCCCCTGAGGCCTCACCCTCCGTCTCCTCTTTGCAGAGTGTCCGCTCGGCTGGCATGGGCCAGGCTGCCAGCAACCTTGCAGGTGTGAGCACCAGTGCCCCTGTGACCCCCAGACAGGCAACTGCAGCCTCTCGGGGTCGCTTGCCCTGAGCAGCATCTTTTCCCAAGGTATAGCCTCCCACCAGTCTCCCAGGGCAGCAGGGGGGCCCCTCCCTCCCCGCCTCAGCGTCTCCCTGGTTTCTTACAGTGAAGCAGTGTCTGCGGCCCCTGGAGGCCACCGTGAGGACAGGAGAACTCTCCCTTCTCACAGGGTAGGTGATGGCTGGAATCGGTCCCTGGCAGGGCTGGTGGGGATCCCCCGCTCCCTCCTCTTCACCTCCGCGAGACTCAGTCCTGCTCAAGGGCCGGCCAAGGACGTGGCTTCTGAACAGCCAGGTGACACTTCAGCATAAGCACAGGGAGGGCCACAGCTGAGCCTCCAGGGAGATGGTGAGAGGGACCTGTGGCCACTGGTGGGCACTGGGGCTGGGCTGGGCTGGGCTCCCTCTCCCAGCCCAAGACTCTGCTGCAGCCCCCTGTTCTCAGGAACTGCATCAGTTCCCGGCACCTCCACACTGGGCCTCATGCTGGGAGTCCCTCAGTTTCCGTGAAGCGGGTCTTAAGTGTGATCTCCTGGAGGGTGTCTGCCCCCACCCACCCCATTTCTGCATCAGGAGGCCTCGGTGCAGCCCACCGAGTGTCTAATACCATCCTCCCTGGCATCCTCACGGCTGGTCCAGGCACCCTGGTTTGCGAGCCTCTGCTCATGGTTCTCACCCAGGTGCACTGCCCACCCTGAGCCCTCTGGAGGCGGGACCCGCTGGGGGAGGGAAAACCCCCGGCACTGCCCTAGGGGCCGAGCCCTGGAGCTCAGGACAGATGTACCCAGCGGGGACATCAGGAGCCCCAGCCCCACCATGAGCTCAGGCTCCCCAGGTGTGAGCCTTTGAGCCCCCGGCAGACCCAGCCACAGCAGCAGCTTCCCACAAGGCCAGGGAAATGGGCCGTCGGGTCTGGTCTTACATTGAAGGTTTCAGCCAAAGGCCCACTTGTTGGAGAAGGTCTTTGGAGGACCCTGCCCTGGGGGAATGGGTGGCAGCCCCTGCTCTGTCCACTTGGGGGACCATGGAGCAGAGCCTGGCCCTCGCCAGCATCCTCTGGGGCGCAGGACTGATGCCATCTGAGGCCTCCTGGGCCATGGCTCCCTGCTGTGTTGTTTGACCTGCACAATTTTTTTTAAGATTTATTTATTCATATAAGAGCTGGGGTGCAGGCCAGAGGTGCAGGGGGTGAGAGGATTCACCAGAGACAGAGTGGAGAGCAGAACAGGTGGATCCACTGAGATACACTGCTGAGGGAGGCAGCGGGGAGACAGGAGAAGTCTGCTGCGCCGTTGTGGGTCATCTCCCTGGCCGGGGATCGAACTTGTGCTGCAGAGTTTGCGGATAGCTTCATAGTCCTGAGACTTAACCCCTGCGCCACCAGGGAGGCCCCTGACCAGCACAGTTTTTATTTTTAAAACTTAACTAGATTTCTGCACATCGTTCACATTCCTGAGGTCTTTCTTTTTACCTTCTGCCACTGTTGCACATGGATGTGTCCCCACCACTCTGGGAACATGCCGTCCCTGCAAGGCTGTCCCCGTGTGGTCCTGAGAACCAGTTCTGTCCCCAGTGCTGAGTGGAGCAAAGGGGTCGGAGCAGACGGGAACCCCTTCAGCACTCCCCAGTCCCGAATCAGCCCAACACCCACCCTGCCGTCTCTCCTGTCCCCAGGACCACTTGGCTGGCCCTCACCCTGGGCTTGGTTTTCCTGCTGCTCATCAGCACAGTGGCCAATGTGTCCTTGCTCCTGGGCTCGAGAGCAGAGCGGGGCCGGCACCTCGACGGGGCCTATGTCTACCATCCGCTGCAGGAGATGAGCGGGGAGGCCCTGGCGGCAGAGAAGGAGCAGCTGGGCGACACCCACAACCCCTTCAAGGACTGAAACGCCCAGCTGCCCCAGCTGATGTTAGCAGGACCCGCCTTCCAGCCCAAAGCAACCGCCCGCCTGGGTGGTCTCAGCCAGGGCTGCAGCTTCTGATCGCACATGTGCCTCAGCCCCTCACCCGGCCCTGGGCCCTCCCCGGCCAGCCGGCCTGCTGAGCAGGTGCACCCCAAGCAGTGCAGCGCCCCACAGGTGGACTCTGCCTCTTCCCTGCCTGCCTATGTCTGCTGCCCACAAGGCCTGGCTCCCCAGGACCTGCCCAGGTGCCAAAGAGCCTCCAGCCCCCCAGGGTGGGGGCTTCAAGCAAGCAAACCCCCGTGACTGAACTGTGACCGTGGCCCGCCAGCCTCTTGACCAGGGCAGTGAGGAGACAGCCACGGCACGGCGCCGTTTCCTTCAGACCTCATCGCCAGAGTAGCCAAGAATTCTGCTTCCTGCCACGGGAAGCGCCTTTGAAGGGACAGGGAGGAAGTGATCATGTTTACGGCTTTCTACCTTGTCATCCTGCCGCCCAGGAGATTTTTCTATCACTTGAATAATAAATTGATATAAAAGGAGCCCCCGGGCCGTGTCTGAGTCCTGAGTCGAGGTTTTCGGGGCTCGTGGTCCCAGCAGGCAGGGGCTGCTAACCCGAGTCAGCACCATCTGCTCGCCGATGGGGTCGCTTCGGGTCATGAAGAAGGTCTTGGAAACTGGCCTAGCTAAGTGGCCCGGTCCCAGGTGGGGCAACACCAGGGCCTCAGGGTGTTCATTTCTATGAACTTCCGCCACAGTTCTCGCTAGTGTTGTAACGAAACATTATTTGAGGACTTGCTGTATTTTGCCTCATCAGGAGCCTCTCACGCTCTAATCTGTACGCGGGTCACCTGGAGGGCTTGCTAAATAAGACGCCCTCCCGCCTGGGCCGGGTGGCCCGAGAGGCAGCCCTAACAAGCTCCCAGGTGACGCCGAGGCTGTGTCTCGGGTTTCATCCTCAGCATAACTCGGTAGACTCAATCAGCCACCAGGACATAAGCCAAGACATTGACAACTCCGGGCGTCTGGTTTCTCTTTGAAAAAGCAGGCACAGGCCAGGGCGCAGTGATGCCCTCACCCCTCAGTCCTCCCTGCTCCTGCGGCTGCTGCCCTCGCCTGCAGCCTCCCTGCCTCAGCACTGCAGACTGAGACTGGGACTGGAGGCCATGGGGGGTAGAACCCCCACCCTGCCCCACCCAAGGAGTGTGTGTGTTGTGCTGTGTCCCGTTGCTTCAGCAGGTCCTCAGATGGACCCCTGCGTGTCGAGGGCTGGAGGTGTGTGTCCACATTTTGTGTGTTGAAACCTGCAAGTCCCAATGGGGTGGGGTCAGGAGGTGGAGCCTTGGCTTAGTTACCTTTATTATTTCTTTTAAGATTTATTTATATATGCATGCAAGAGCTGGGGTGTGGGCCAGAGATGGGGGGGCGCTGTGAGAGGATTCACCAGACAGAGTGGGGAGCAGAACAGGTGGATCTACTGAAATCCACTGCTGAGGGGAGCAGCAGGCGAGACAGGAAAGGTCTGCTGCGCCATGTGGGTAGCTCCCTGGCCAGCCAGGCGTCGAACTCATGCTGCAGTGGCTGGCGATAGCTGTTTTTAACCCCTGTACCACCAGGGAGGCCCCTTAGTTACCTTTAGATGAGGCCGTGAAGGCAGTGCCCTCAGGTGAGATTTGTGCCCTGTGTGACAAGGCGCATCCTTGTTAGTGAGCAGTGAGTTTGCTGCCATAAGTGCAGAGAGGCCGATACCAAGACATCAGGGTTTGAGAAAACAAAACAGCTTTATTGCAAATCAATTGGCAAAGAGACAGATTAGCTCAAATCTGCTTCCCGCTTAAAAGGGGATGACGGGGCCTCATTAGCACGTTAGGGTCAACACCCAGGGTGAGACCTGAGAGAATGAGACGCGACTCACGAAGAAGCGTGTGACTCTTCTGGGCACGCTCCGGTGTCGCCCACCCAAGGCACATTACACGTTACTCTCCACCCTGCCCAACAGGCAGACCCCTTGGAACTCACTTCGGAGCCAGCTTGTCCTCCCTGTCTGAACTCCGTCTAGTAAACCTTGTCTGGACGCACTCTGCCTGCTGGTTAAATCCTTCTTGTCGGGCTCTGCCAAGGGGACCCTTGAGGTCTGTGATGGGATCAAAATGAAGACAGACTTTGGGTAGAAGCCTGCAGGGTCCCTGGAAACCTGGGCTCAGAACAAGTGTGACCTCACTTACACCTCGTTCTATCACAGTCCCCAGGCCAGGCTGCGTTCAGGGGAAAGGGGAAGAGACAAGTCACGCAGCAGAAGGGCGTGAATCCGGGAGCCAGCCCGGCCCAGCCAGCCCCTGCAGGCATGGGTCTCCTGCCCTTCCTGTCAGCCCCAAGGATGATGCGGACAGACCGGTGGCGAGCCCGCCCAAGACTCTGCCACGGGCCACATCCCATCAGGCGCCTGAGTGCTGCCAGGCCCGAGACAGCTCGACCCCTTCGCAGCCTCTGGGCTTGTACCCCAGGCTGGAGGGAAGAGCAGGGGGGGTGGGGGTGGGGGGTCGTTCATAGCAGGCGGGGCCAGCTGGGCAACACTGGAGTTGTAACTCCTCCTTCCTGAAATGTAAACCACCAGCCCACGTGTTCCCCCAGGGGCCTTGTGTTTCAGCTCCACCTGGAGGTTCATTCTGTATTTCGCTTTAATGCATCAAGCGGCCCTGGGCTGCTCTGGCCATTTTGTTCCCCTTGTTCACGGCCGGACAGAGAGAGGAGAGTGAGGGCAGGTTCCAGCACCTTCGACTCACCTTGGCATCTCCCAGTCATACTTCCCAAGTGACCTGTCATCAGAATGTGTGCCCCCAGAATGTTCTCTGATTGCAGACTGCTGGACCCCATCTCAGATCCATGGAAGCAGAACCTAGGGGGACAGGGGTCCAGGAATCTACAGGGAGCACCTCCAGAGGGTCTGAGGAGACCCCAATCTCAGAAGCTCCACTGTCCGCAAAGGACAGCTCTATCGGCCCTGCTACGCCGGCAGCTGAGAGGGAAGGTTCCAGTCCTGGCACAGACTAGGCAGATTCTAGGCCACAGGGAGCACAGCAGTCCTGACGAGGCCCTGGTTCAGCAACTGGCCACCTTGGAGGCCCCTGGAGTCTGCACTGGGCCCAGCCCCAGCCTCGGAGGGAGGATGCATCCCAGGGGCAGCTCGGGGCCCCAGGAGCCTGGGAGAATGTGCCCGAACCCCAGGGGGTGATTCTGCCCGACAGACGTCAGCAGTGACCTGAGGCTCAGTCCCAGCGCCCCTGCCCCACGGGACGCTGTCTCTCCAGACAGCCGCACCACAGTCAGATGGCTGCTCCCTCAAGAGCCCCACCCCACTGCCCGGAGCCCCGTGGCCTGCCGCAGGGATGCGCAAGTGTTGTGAACGTGCCGCGCTGAGGCAGGGCGCCAACGCCTCTCCCGGTCAGATACGCTCTCACTGCCGGCGCAGCAGACTGCCCCATACCGTCACACCCTCTGCCGCCAAGTGCCTGTCCCCCGCCTCCCACCCCAAAGCAAGGGCGCCTTTTCAGAGCCCCATGATGTGTGTGGCTGCCAGCTTCACGTCCCCAGGGGGTGACTGTAAGCCTGATGGCACTGGGCAAGGCCCCCACCCCTCAGGATGCCCCCAGGCGTGTGGACAGCAGGCCCTTCCCTCACTTGGACACCTGGCAAGTAGAATCAGGACACCCCCCAAGACCCCAGGGCAGCAGGCGAGCAGGCCCTAGGCACCTGCAATTTAATACCACTGATAAACTGCAGGATCTGTGCTGGGTGGGTTGAATAACATCTCCCCCAAATTCACATCCACCCAAAACCTCAGAGTGTAACCTTTGGAAATGGTGTCTCTGAAGATGGAGTTAGTGACGGATCCCCAGATGGCATCATCCTAGACTAGCGTGAGCCCCAGATCCAATGGCTGTGTCGTCACGTGAAGAGACACAGGAAGAAGCCGTGTGACGTGGAGGCAGAGGCTGGAGGGATGTGGCCACAAGCCAAGGGCACCTGGAGCCCCAGGTAGCTGGGAGGACAGGAAGGGTCTGCCTGGAGCCTCCAGAGGGAGCAAAGCCCTAAGGCACCTTGATTTCAGATTTCTGGTCTCCAGAACTGTGAGGATGGTTGTTTTAAGCCACCAAATTGTGGTGATTTGTCACAGCAGCTCCAGGAAACATTAGAGCTCTGCTTTATACATAAAAATGTGATTTTGGGGGGGTACCTCCTTTCCCCTCCCAAGAAGCAATTGCACCTTGAGGGTGCTATCACCCCTCGCGAGTCTTATGGACAACAGCTGAGGAATTCCTGAACCAGCCTTGGGGAGCCCAGGGTTTAGGAAGCAGGTGAGTTACATCCAAATCTAAAACGTTTAACGCTCAGGTTGAAGCCAATGAGCAGGCGAACAAGGAACGTCATGTTTTATTGACTGGAAGGAATCACACTATTCTCATTGAAAACTCATTTTACAGGATGGGAGGGAGACATTCTAGAAAGTGCAGGGTAGGGAGGAAAAGTCTTAAACTCCTTTTATGTCAACCTGTGGAGAGAACATTCTCAAGCTGGTGGAGGGAAGTTGGACGCCGAAGGGTGCATTTCCAAATTAGTGGGTTTCCCCAAAATGCAGTTTCTCTAAGGGAATGTCTGACTGCATACACAGCTCACAGGGAAACACCCACTTTTCGCTGGATGCACGTGGCGCTGAGCCCTCTGTCCATGAAAAACGGTGACAGGTGTCTTAGGAAGGAGCCTGAGGTCTTTGGATGCAAAGCATTAAATAAAATAACCACTGGCACGTAGCCGGTGCTTTGTGCGGGCGCTGGGCTGAGGACCGTGCAGCCTCTGCCTCCTTCTATGCCACTCTAACCCAGTGAATGAGGTAGGCACTGCTATCCCCATCTTACAGATGAGGAAACTGAGGCACAGAGAGGTAAGGTCACCTGCTGGAGGTTACACAGCCAGGAAAGGGAGGCGGGGGCTTGTACCCCACCCCATCTAAATTCAAAAGCCCAGGCTCCTAACCCCTGTGCCTGAGCAAGTTCTATTGCTAGTGGGTGGTTTCCGTCCTGGCCACAGGTTAGTGAGCAAGACAGAGAGAGATGCCAAGACAAGGAGCTTCCAGCTCAGAGGTCTAGGTGGGAAATTCAGAGGCCAAGAGCTTGGGTTTTATCATTTCAAGCCTCCTAAAGAATGACCTGTGGGTTGGTGATGCTCGAACGTGGGTCCCCAAGACCTTCGTGGCTTCTGTGGCCCAGCTCCCCTTGTTCTCAGGAGACTGACCCTCCCGCATCCCACTGTTCCTTCCAGAGGGAACAGCACTCACAGGTCGTCAGCCCCTTGGCCAAAGCAAGCACAGGGCCCAGCAGAGCTCCCCGGGGTCTGAGATGGGGAGAGACTGTTTCTCAGCTTTAGAGATTGTGAGCCCTGTGGCTGCAGGCTTGGGGCTGCTGGAAGTACCTTCCAGGTGGAGGAGAGGCCGAGGCAAGCAAGCAAAGACGCCTGGGAGAGGTCGAGAGGATGCACACACAGGGCTCCTGGATCCAGCCATACCTGGAGCTTGTCCACCCTCAGACAGCCCTGTTACTGGAGCCAGGGAATTCTCTTTGTTGCTTAAGCCAGTTTGATATTGCAGATTGCGCTCAGTGATAAATGCCCAGCGACACAGGGACATCTCGTCTCGAGAACGTCTCCGATCCCCACTCCCCACACACCCCTGGATGCAGATGCAGAGTTCTGTATTTTGTTTCTATACCTGAGAAGCAGAGAACTAAGAGGAGAGGCCAAGGCCCCCTCTGTGGGAGAAGATGTCACTTCTTGCCTCCGCCCTGGGTTTGGGATTGAGGCTGGTATGGAAGGAAGTAGGTCCTTGTTCTCGTGCCCCCTCATGTTGAGCTGACATGGAGGTGACCGTTCCCACAGTTGTACAAAGCCCAGAGACTCCAGGTATCAACCAGAGACAACTTTGGCTGAGAGAGGCGAGCAAGGCTGAGCCTCTCGCCCCAGGCCACCCCCAGACTGCAGGCAGAGCTGCTCTGTGAAGTCCCTCCCAGGCAGATGATACAAGTGACGTGGGGTAGGTGTGCGTCAGTAGAGAGCAGTGGGGACTGAGGTGGCCCCACCCAGGGGTGCAGCTGTGTTGTCTTTACATAGTGGCTCCATTTTGCCAATACTCCCAATGTCTACGGGAAGCTGGAGACCCTGATTTCCGTGTGAAATGCCCTAATTTTTAAATCCCGCTATAGGCAACACAGAAAAACACTAAAGACAGGCCAGATCAGACTACAGACTGCTAGTTGACCTCTGACCTGTGGCCTTTTTCAGGGCCCAGGAAAAGAGAAATGTCCTCAAATGCCAAGGAGACCCAAGCATCTCCCACACAAGAACCGAAGGTGTCTAACAATATTAGTACTGGTTCAGGGGTCACATCTGCCCCAGGACAGACACAACAAAGTCCAGCTTCTACTCCCCAGAGAAGTCCTGATACCATGTTGAGCACCTGGATCCAGCCTGACCTGAAGCAGATGCGCATGGTCATTTCTTTGGTGTGGGTCTCGGTGACTTACCACTACAAGAAGTCATAATCAAATAGCTCCCAGGGGAGGAAGGAAGCAGAGTAAAATGACAACCAGAACCACATCATCATCGCCTGGACTTAGCAGAAGCCTTGGGCCTTCCCACGCTCTTCAAGTGTAGGGTGGTCAGGATTAGGCCTTCCCCTTCAAGGGTAGAGAAAATGGAATTCCAGTCCAGGGTGAGCTGCTCACTACAGAAAGTAGTGAGACTCATTCAGCTGAAAGCCTGTGACTCAGAAAGCCTGAGACTCATTTAGCTGCTCACCACGCAGACCCAGGGACGCAGGGCATCACCACGGAACCAGTTATTATGGTGAGCACCCATTATTTTTCTTAACCCAGAACTCTCTCCCCCATTTCTGGAAGGGACCCCAATATTCCTAAAGACACCCTACTTGTGCTTTCCAGAACAGATGGCATCAGGACCAAGCACCGCATCTCCCCTCCCCACACAGAGATTGGTCCAGATTAGACAGAGGACGCTGCTGGCCAATCCGTGTTCTCCGTTCCCCCGGCAACTAGGGTTCAGGGACCCTGGTGCTCAAGCAGGCTGGTAAGACGATCTGAGATGGATGCGCTTTGCCTTCATAGGGTCCTAGGGGAGAGGGAGGGAGCCTCAGGGGATAGGCTCCCTGCATGGGGAAGGCATCCATTGGCTTTTTGTTTGGAAGTCTGAAGAAGATGGTTCTGTCCTGCAACCTCCCGAATCCACCAGCTGGGTCATTGCTGTTGGTTCCAGACACCCGGACTTCAGGAGCAACCAGACCCAGGCTGCAGCCCCCACGGTCCAGGCCCCGAGGCCAGCCAGCTTTCTGTCCTGGCCACTTCTGGATGCTGGAGGCCAGTAGCTGCCCCGCTGGGTTCAGGGCTGGCTATCTGGAGGCCAGGGAGCTGCTGTGGGACTGGCCGGAGGAGGAGGAAGAGGTGGTGGCGCTGAGCTGGGAGAAGCCGCTGGTGCAGGATTCCAGGCTGGACATGGAGCCCCTGGGGCGGAGGGCGAGGCACACGCGTCACCTTCTGCTGGCGACACGGCCCTGGGGCCCACGCGCAGCAGCGGAAAAGCTGTTGATGCTGCAAATGAGGCCCCCCGGGCTTGTTCCACAGGGCTGGTAACCCCCCAGGGGGCAGAGGCCAAGTGCAAAGCAAGGGAAGTCATGAGAATGAAGCTCCCCCACTTTCCTGCATCCTGCATCCTGCATCCCAGCGGAAAGCCCAGCCTGCCGCAAACCACTCAGGGACCTGCGGACCAAGTGTGGCCCAGACGGGGGCCCAGGCCTGAGCAGGCTGGCCCTTCTGCTGCCTCACCCAGGCTCTGCAATCAGGCCTCACTGGCCTGCACTCAGCTCCTGCTGTCCCTCGTCTCGGTGCCCAGCAGGTCTGCACAGACTGCCAGCAGCTCCTTCTCTCCCGCCCACTTGTCTAGTGACCTCCCACTCCATGCCCCAGCGGCCAAGCCCTCCTGGGGGGCGGCCCGAGGCGCAGTCCCACCATCCAGCTCGGCACGCAGCAGGCAGGACGTCCTACCCGCTACCCCGTGTCTCTGAAAGCAACTCTCGGGAAAAGTAGTCAGTGAGGCCCTGTCTAGAACAGACTAGGACTGCTCTGGAATGTTCTAAACCATTTCCTGGAATTATAGGAATGAGGGGAGCTCAAGAACGAGAGCTCGGGCTCCCCTTCTCCCCCGACAAACCAGCCTGGTACGTTGGGTTTTGGTAAGTTTCGCTGGCAGCAGTTTGGACGCGGCGTCCCACCCCAGTTCTGACCCCACGGTGCTGAGCCGCTGGAAGGTTCTAACAATACCAGCACCAGCCCCGCCGGGGTGGAAGGGCCCTCGCCAGGCCCCACCTACCTGAAGTCCTCAGACGCCAGCACCTCATAGTAGTAGAGGAGCTTGCACCTGGGCCCAGGGCTGTGCCGGGCAGCCAGGACATCCTCTGCGCCCTGGAGGCCGCAGGCCGCGCTGTCCGGGGGGGTGTGCATCTGCCACTGCAGCAGGTAGACGCCGGGCCAGCGGGTCACATGCGAGCCCTGGAACACAGCACCACGCCTGCCACCACCCACAAGGCCCCTGCAGGCTCCCCCTCCACCCTCACGCCCGTTGGTGTTTTCTCCCTGCAGCTGAGGGCCCTTCCGGCTTGGGGGGCTCAGGCATGGGGTTGCTGCTGCGGGGCCGCAGTGCATGCCTGGTTCACCACCTGGAAGTGGGTTTTGTTCTGTTGTGGGACTTGCAAGCCCAGGAGCTGCGGAGCGAGGCAGGGGGGAGCAGTGGTGAGTGTTGAGGGCTTAGGGAGAGCAAGAAAGGGGGTGTCAGGGTGAGAAGAGCTGCTTGAGAGAGGCTTGGGGTGTTCAATGAGCTGGTGGTGGGCAGTGTGCTGGCGTGGGATGTGCATGACGGCCCGCAGCTCAGCAACCCAGAAGCTCTGCAGTGCTTGCTGGGTGTCGCGCACGGGGGTGTGGAGTGTATGTGTGTTCACAAGTGTGCAGGTGTGCGGCCTGTGCGTGCACGTGTTGTGCGTATATACATGTGTGTCAGCATGTGGTGTGGGTGCCTATGTGTGTATGTGTGTGGTAGGAGTGCTTGTGTGTGTGCTGGGACTGTGGTGTGTGACCTGCAAGCACGTGGGGTCAGCAGGGGTGGCCCACACGCCCGCCACACGACCTTGCGTTTTCTCTGTCACGTGGGCTCTGGGACTTGACGTGCCCGGAAGCCGTGGGGAGCATGTGAGCGGGGCAGACCGAGGCCCCACGCCCAGTGCTGCACTAGCCCCCAGTGCGAGGCCAGGCTCTGGAGTCCCCCAGCCCTTCCCTCCCGTGGCCCGCAGGCCCCTGAGGCTGGGGCGAGTCTGTCTCCATGGGGCCCCCGCACCCACCCCGGCACACGCTCAGCCCCGCGGGACGAAGGAAGGAATGAGCCAGGTGCCCACCTGGATGCTCTCCCCTTCCCGGCAGATGAGGGGGGCCTCCACGCGGCTGTAGTCGGTGCCCAGGACCCTGCTGTGGTCCGCCGGCTCCCGGGGGCCCGGCCTGGCCGCCTGCCTGGCGTGGTACAGGCTGAACACCACGTCCCCCCGGAGGATGTCGAAGTCCCAGGTGATGACCGACTCCTCCTCCAGAATCTCCACGGCCACCTGCGGGGACAGGCGAGCTCTGAGAGTCCAGGCCAGAGCCTCCCCGCCCCTAGGCGGGAAGCCGGAGTCGGCGCAGGGCTGCCCCCACCCGCCACCACGGGGGAGGGCGCTGAGGGTCCCGCAGACCCTCTATCTGGTACATCTGGGGGTGACCCACAGTCGCTGCCTGACCAACACGCGGAACCGAGTTGCTGGCACGGAATCCTGTGTCAGTCTCTGCTTCGGGCCCTTCCCAAGATGACTCCCAGCCCAGGGGGCCCTCCCAGGCGGGGCCCAGCACCTCGTGGGGGGCCCCGCGAAGCACGCTGGCTGACTGGTAGGTCTCCCGCCACTGGCGCAGCTGGTCTGCATGCTCCTGCTCCTCTTCCGCCAAGTAGAGGGACTTGGGCACCAGCCCTCCTTCCGGAACGTTACACTGGGGACAAAGGCAAGGTGGCAGGTCAGGGCTGACGCACAGAAGGGTGCCCTGTACCCGTGAAACCACATCTACACCTTCACGAGAAAGGCACCAGGCCGCGGGACCCCGTTTAACACCCAGAACCCCTATGTGGCAGGAGCACTTGTTCTCCCATTTCACAGTAGAAGGAGGCAGCTCAGAGAGGCCAGGCCACTGCCCAAGGTCACACAGCAGAAAGTGGCTGAGCTGAGCGCAGACCCCAGCTCGTGCTCCTCACTGCAGTGCTGGTGGGCTCCAGGTTCTGTGTGCTGGGGCGCACACACCCCCCAGGTGGGGTCTCTGTCCACTGTCCTCGGACCTCCAGGCCATTTGCTACACATTAATCATGCATATGTGGAAAGAAGCAGCAAGCTGGGGGAATTCCTAGGAAATGCCTTTTTCCACCCAGATATCATGCAAGCTGGCTGGTGGGTGTTTCTGTTAGAGGAGGGAAAGGAACCTGCCCTCTGAGCCAGACGAGATCAGACAGCTGCGACCCAGGGGGCCCTGTCCATCAGCTCACCCCAGTGGCCAGTGAAGGGTCGGGGCATGGCTGAGGGGCAGCTGTGGGCTGGGCATACATCCTGTCATGTGCCCGCCCAGCAGGTGATCTCAGCTGCCGCCAGAACCATCGTGGACGGGCGAGCTGGAGCAGCGAGCGCTGACTGGCCTGGTCTTAGGGCTTCCAGAAACTTACATTTCGTTCACGATTTTTGAAAGACCCAGAAAGTAAGGCCCACCCTTCACAGAGGAGTCACCTGACCTAGGGCAGCTTCTGAAACAAGTGCTGCTCCCAAAGAGGCAGGCTGGCAACAGGGAGGTAACCAGCGGCCCCGGGGAGCAGCACACACTCAGCAGGCTGCCTGCCTAGGTGTCCTGCCACCGAGGCCCTGCCCAAGCAATCCCAACCCTGCACCTGGCCCTGGCAATCCCCAACCCTGCAGGGAACCATCTTCTCCCCATTCCCCAGCCCAGCCCCAGCGATCCCTGGCTCCTCAGAGGCCGCAGCCCATTCCTCCCCCCAAGGTCTCGGGCATAGCAGCAGACTCACCACGCACTCTCCCCCAAGGAAGTCGGGGATCACTTCTTTCTCCAGGTAGTCCACAAGGCCCCCTGGGCCCTGGTAGTTGCTGCCACTATAGATAAGGAACTTCTGCCTGGTGTTCTCATTGATGAAGGGGCTGATCTGCGATGAGGAGATGGAAAATTGCGGGTTTTCTTCTATCTTATTCCAAAACAGGCCCACCACCCGTCAGCAGGCAGGCCCCATCCCCGCTCCCTAGCCCTGGCAGCCGCCCGGGTGCTTTCTGTCTCTACGGCTCTTCTGGACACTCCAGAGACCTGGAATCACAGCGTCTGCAACCTTTGTGTCTGGTTTCCTTCACAGTGTCGGCCTGCACAGGAGCCTGCGTCAGTGCCCTTTTCATCGCTGAGTAATATTCCACGTGTGGATGACCATGTGCTGTTTATCCCAGATGGGAACTATTTCAGCCCTGAAATACTGCCTGTCAATCTGTTTTTTCATGGCACCCCGATGCTGGCGTGGGTTCTCAATAAATAGGGGAGGAAGGAGGGAGCGGGGCGCGGAGGGAGGGACTTAGCATGGCTGTGCACAGGCAACTCAGCAAGGAGTGCCACCCGCCAAAGATGGGCGGGGAACTGAGAGTCCACCTATGTGGGTCACCCCCCTCAGCCCCCACTCCAGGAGGGGGTCCCCTGTCCCCTGTGGGACTCGGGGACCTGGCTTCCACCTGGGGTGGCCTCTGAGGGCTAGCAGCATGAGACAGGATGAGAACCAGGCCGGGAAAGGCACACTCCCACTGGCAGCCCCAGCCCTCACAGCCACCCTTCCTCTTGTCCCTCACCCTGGGGTGCCCGGCTTGCTGCAGAGGCTAGTCCTGGGGGCCTCTCCCTCCTGCCACCACCTCAGCACGGAGCTCCCTCTTGTCGTCCCCCCACGACCGGAGCAGTCTGGGTAAATGCTGCTCTCAGGTCAGGCACCCACACCACAGGTCTCATGCTGAGGTGTGAGTGTGTGCGCGAGTGTGTGCTCGTGTGTGTACACGCAGCCGCATACATGCATGCGTGTGCCCAGTCGCAACGTCAGGTGTCTTTCACTGTGCATGGTGGACAAGAAGTCTTCAAGCCCTGTAGCACAGCCCCCAGCACCCCCTGAGCGGCCCCTGGGAGCAGGGAGGCTGCACAGGTCTGGGGGTCTCTCGTCTCCCTGATCAGGACAAGGTCATGTCAGACGTAGTCTCACCACACAAAGAATGTTGTCTGCACATAAAAGGGGGGAGCCTGATTCAACATGCCTGAAGCGTTCTGCTGGGTGGGAGGAGCAGACGCTGGCGGCCCCTGTGGGGTCTGTCTGTGGAGATGCCCAGGCCCCCCACAGGCACAGGGAGCGGGTGGTTGCTAGGCCGAGCCAGGGCTGTGACTGCCGATGGGCACAAGGTGTCCTTTGGGGATGAGGATGTCCTGGAGCGAGCGGTGCGGCCGCCCTGCTCTGGATTACACTGTCAGCCCCAGTTCTGCACCTGAAGGGGGCAGTGGGCTACGGGCCACATCTCCAGAAAGCTGTCCCTGGGAGACACGGAACGTGACGGAGAGGACTGCCCCAGCCCCTCGGGAGGGGCCCCCCACTCTGCTCTTACCAGCGTCCAGAGCACAGGGAAGACCCGGGGCGCCCGCACGATCAGCAGCCGGCCCAGGGTCTCGGGGTAGTTGTCCTCCACCACCTCGATCATGCGCAGCAGCGCCCTCACGCCCGGCCGCCACAGGTGCCGCATGTTGAGCCCCTCCAGGTCCACCAAGCAGGTCCAGGAGCTGCGGCAGAGAGGGGACCCCTCGCTCCACCTGGATCCACCCCCTTCCAGGGTGCCCAGCATCCTCCGTGGGGACCCGGGGGCTGGCAGAAGGGGGATGGAGAGGCGCAGTGTGGCAGCACTGGGAGCAGGGCCGCAGCAGCTCCCGTGGGTCCTCCACGTGGGAAGCCGTGTGGTGAAGAGGCTCAGAGCATAGCGTCTGGGGGTGAGCCCCCCGCCGTGTGCCCAGGCAACTTCCCCATCTTCCCTTGCTGGGGTCAGGGTCGAAGCACTCTGCAAGGCCGGGCACATGCCTGCTTCGGTCAAAGCCGGCCCCCCACCCCCACCGAGCTGAAAGGACGCTGAGCAATGAGCACAAGGCTGAGCACATGCCCAGCGGCGCAGCTCAGAGCCTGCTCCTGCCACTGCTGTGTGGCCTTGGCCAAGTCACCTCACCTCTCTGTGCCTCCACGTCATGATTGGGACACAGCAGCCAGCGGCCTGCTCCCGGGAGCCTCCCACCCTGCTCCAGGTCTTCACCTGACCCAGCCCTGCAAGGGGTCCCTTCCTGGCACCCTGTCAGCTGAGCCTCCTGGGGTGACCTCGCTTCTGGACAGGCCCCTGATTGAGCGCCCCTCCCCCGCTCCCATGAAAACCAACTTTATCAGGAGATTTCAGGGTAACAGGTCCACCTGTCCCTGCCTGCGGGCTGTTAGAGGGGGAGAGTGAGTGCCGCTGACCGAGGGCCTTGGTTTCTGAGCCTCCCTACAGGATCCTGGACGTGCCCTGGTTCCCGCTTTACAGAGAGGGAACAGCTGCTCAGACAAGCTCCGACCTCCGGGGGCGCTGCTGCCAGGAGGGGCTGGGAAGCCTGTCCAGCAGAGACGCGCGAGTCAGAGAGGGACAGCGGGTGCCGTGCCCTGGCAGCTGCCCATGCGCTGGACCCTGGGTGAGAGAGTCCAGACGGAGCAGGAGGGAGAGCGTTGGTCTCGGTGGTGGCAGCAAGTCAGGGCTGAGCCTGCAGCCAGACCCAACAGCTCCTAATGCCGCCTGTGCCACTCACCCGCCTGGCAGCCTGGAGGGGCTCACCACGGGGCCTCAGCTTCCCCATCCACACAGGACAGGTGGACACAGCCCCAGCCGCCAGGCCTCACTGTCACAGCTGTGAGGCCCTTTCCCCGGAGAGCCCGGCCCCCCGGCCCTGCACCACGGCCCCCGGCCGCTTGCAGTATTCCGGGGAATTTGCTCCTGACCCCAGGCTCTTACCTGATGGGACGACCAAACTCTTTCGTGTTCCCTTCACACCTCTTCTGCCCTTCCTCGTTGACGGAGAGAACCTGGAAGGCAGAGAACGTGCTGGCAAACTTTCACTCTGCTGCTCCACCCACAGGCAGCCCGGGCACTCGGGAGCGGGAGCCCGACTCACGTGCTGCAGCAGGGCCTCCTCCCCCACGGCCTTCATCAAGCCCTTGGTGTCCATGTGGCCCAGGCGCAGGATGTAGAGGGGGCGGCCATCTTGGGACCAAGCAGAGAGAGGACGTTATTCAGGGGATGCTGGCGAAAGGGCTGGATCCAAGCAGCCACCAGAACGTCACTCTTCCTTCACCTTCCTGGAGAAGGAGCTGGCCGGGTGGGGCTGTCCACCTCCTGGCCCATCCATTTACCCACTACCCTCTGCCCGGTCACCTCCGGATCCCAGAAAGAGTCGGAAAGAGAAATGAGATACTAGAGTGGGACGTGGGGGTGCCTAAGGCACCCGTCACGTAGGTGGGGACGCACCTATGTCCTGGTAGTGCCAGCCCCCCGCATAGAACTCCTCCAGGAGGGCGGGGGGCCTCCAGGTCTGCAGAAGGACGTCCACCTGGTGCTGCCGCCGCCAGAGCAGGGACTGGCGCAGCATCTCCCGGGCCTTGTCCAGGTGGAAGTCGCGAGCCCGCAGGAACCGGAGGATGTGCTCATCTTTGGGGATCTGGGAGGAGAGACGGAGACAGCCCATGGGTGGTGCCCTGGGGGCACAGAGGGCAAGGAAAACCAGCCTTGCCCCACCTGTCACACGGACCCGATAAAGGACCCGGGGGCACCATGCAGCTCCACCCAGGCGCAGGCTGCCCGGCCCTGTGGGCTCCTCTGCCCGCCTGTTTCTGCCGTTCCCTCGCATGGCCCCTGAGCGCCGGGCTACACTGGGCTGGTCCTCCATGAAGGGGCAGCCCCTGGGGACATCTTTCCATGCCAGGCCAGTGTGGATGGTCACCCTGCGGGGCGGCTCCTGGCACCTAGCGGGGGAGGCCGGGGATGCTGCCCAGCACCCCCGGTGCCCAGGACGGCCCCAGCCTCAGAGACGGGCGCACCCTTGTGACTGCGTCTCTTGACTGAGCTTTGCCGGCAGCGCTGGTCTTCGCGGCCTGCGCCCCACGCCGGCGGGCGGCTTCCCCACAGGGCGTGTTGCCCGGGCTGGCTGCGACACATTCAGTTAAGGGGCACGCTGTTTTCTGAGACGCGGCGCTTCCGCACGCTCGGCAGAGTGCTGCCCCGTGTCGGTTCCGTTCCAGGCCTGGGAGACCACGGTGTGCGCCTCGATTTAGGGCGATATTCGCGGGGCAGGACAGCAGTGGCTCTGAGGTGTGTCTCCTGTGGTGCTGAGGTTGGGGAGCCCCACGATGGGGTACACACGACACAGAATGTGATGAGAAGAAGGGGAAACCTCAGTGCCGGTTTGCGAATCTCACACCTGTGTCCTGGCCCCTCTCCCCGGGGCCCGCGCTCGGTAGCCGTGATGTGCAGCTGCTCCCCAGCCCCAGCCCTGCACCCACCTTGCCCTTGTGGGTCTCCTGCAACCAGTGCCGAAGCTGGACCAGGCAGCTCTCCTGCATGGGGGTGAGACGGCCCAGGCACCGCGCGATGTAGTCCGCGTCCAGCTTGTCTGGTGGAAGAAGTGGGGTCAGTGCGGGGGCGGAGGCCGCGTGGCCTCACCACCTGGGCCATTCTTTCCGGGACCCCCAGCTCACTGGGCTCCGAGCGCGAGGGCAACGACAGCCACAGGGGCTCCAGATACGCGGGGCTTTCTAGCCCACTCCTAGGTGCTCCGAAAACCCGCGCCGGGCGGCTGCCTCTCAGGCTGCGCGTGATCTCTCCTTTCCTTTGATGCTTGGAAGTAAAGACGCCCCCGAGTATTAACACATAATCTCACGCTTACTGACACGCTCTTCTCGGGAGGCCCCCCCGACGCCCTGGGGCCAAGATCACTCTTGTCCACTTTCAAGAGGACTAAGTGGCAGCCAAGAGCTGTCGGAGAGCCCCGCGTGGAGACGCGGTTCATGGCCTGAGCTCCTTGTCTTTCCACCTCCCCGACCTAGGGTAGGGGGTAAGGCTTGACCCCAAAACACGCCCAGGAGCTGCAGGGACCATCCCCACTGCTCAGTCCTCTCTCACACGACTGGGCTGGTCAGGATCCGCATGCGCCGGCACTTAGGGCCGTGAGGCCCCCTGGCCATGCTCAACTGTCAGGGTGGCAGATGCGGGCAGGCCTGGGCCCTGGCATTGTGACATCTCAGCCTTGGGGAGACAAAGCACCAGCCCCATGGGCATAACTGCTCTTGGGGTGCAAATGGAACATTAGCACAGGCAGCAGGACCCCTCTGATCCCTCCCAGAGAGCCCAGGGCTGGAGATCATGGCAACGGGGGAAGTGGAGGCAGAGGGCTGCTGGTGGGGGTGAAAGGGCTGTCCAGATGCCAGAGCACTCAAGAGTGGACAGAGCAGACATGCAGGAGACAGGGAGGGGTGAGGGGGGTGAGGGAGAAAGCACGAGGGTGGCAGGAGACCCCAGCATCCTTCCGGCCTCCCAGCCGTGAAGGGCCCTTTCTCCCTCAGAACACAAAGGCTCAGTCTTCTGAGCTGCACGGGGCAGGCCGGTGCCTCCCACCAGCCATCCCGAGGGCCGGCCCTGCTGGTGGACGGCACAGATGGAGGAGGAAGGAGAGGGCTGGTGCAAAGTGGGGAGGGCCCAGGGCACGCCCGGTGAGTGTGTGCACAGGAAGAGCCACAGTGCACTGCTGTAAAAGAATCTTCATGTTTTTAAAAGTACACATAGCATAGCAGCCATAGTGCACACAGTAGGTGCAGAATCAGCATTTGTTGAAGGAATGAATTTTGTTCTCCCTGAACATAGTCCCAGATGGATTTTTGGCTACATGGCAAATGTCTGGGCCAGACAGGCCCCTCACCATCACCCAGGGAAACATTCGTCATGAGCATGGAGTTGTTTCCTTAACTATCATAATGTGAACATTTTCCTTGTCAACAAAACTCTGATACATGACAAAAGGCTAAGTGCCTTAATATGCAAAGAGTTTTTAGAAAACAATAAGAAATCAATGGGTAAATAGGAAAATGGACAAAGGAGAAGAATGAGGTCCACAAAACAAGGAAAACAGAGTCACTAATGATGGAAAAAATAATGCTTGGCCTCACTCCTAAGGACAGAAGTGGCCACTAATCTACCAGCAGTCACGCTTTGTCTTTCAGAAGCTTAAACATTTAATAATCTTGGGAGAAACTAGGTGAGGTCAGGAATAGTGTCCCACACTCACAGTGGGGACATTCATTAGCACAGCCTCTTGGAAGGCCTAAAATTTTGGCTGCTTTTATTTTTTTTTTTTTGTATTTTTTTTTTTTTAATTTTTTTTTTTTTTAATAGAGGCATGTTTTATTTATTTATTTGTTTGTTTGTTTGTTTTGTTTATACATGCACTGGGTACAGTCAGAAGCGCGGGAGGGTGAGAGACTTCACCAGAGCCAGAGCGGGGAGCAGAGCAGGCAGAAGGACAGAAGTACACTGCTGAGGGGAGCAGCGGGCGGCAGGAGAGGTCTGCGCGCCATGTGGGACCCTCCTCCGGTGGCCGGGGAGCAGCCGGGGATCAAACCGGCGCTGCAGAGGCCGCGGGCAGCTTCGCAACCCAGCGCTCAACCACTGCGCCACCGGGGAGGCCCAATTTTGGCTGCTTTTAAACTTGTGACACAGCGATTCAACTTTTAACCTGTTGCATTAGGTATACAGACTCATACAAACATTTTTTAAAACCTGAAGTACAAAGACGTCCACTTATTTGTGTTTTTAAAAAGGAAGCAATCTAAATATTTATCAATATGGGACTAGCTAAATAAACTCATCAGACATAGTGTTTATTAGTAAGTTATGGTGTGGGGCCTCCCTGTTGGCCTAAGAGTTAAGTCTCAGCACTATCAGTGCTGTGGCCTGAGTTCAATCCCGGCCAGGGAGCTGACCCACATGGCGCAGCAGACCTCTCCTGTCTCGCCCACTGCTCCCCTCAGCAGTGGATTTCAGTAGATCCACCTGTTCTGCTCCCCACTCTGTCTCTGGTGAATCCTCTCATACCCTGCATCTCTGGCCTGTACCCCAATTCTTCTACATAAAAATAAATACATAAATTTTTTTAAAATAATAATAAGTTATGGTGCAACCAACCCATGAGAGGCTGGACACACGGAGAAAGCTGTCCAGGCAGCAGCAGGAAGTGAAAAAGGCAACTAGCATACAGCTTGTCCAGGAGCTCTCATCTGCTCACTGTGGATTATGCGTGTTTGCGTGGAGGTGTGTGTACACAACGTGTACACGTATCTGCATGGATCACATCAGGAAACAGAAACACACAACTCTGCTGCCTCCAGGGCTGGGGGAGGAGCTTCCTCCCCTCTCGCGTCTTCCAAGCAGTCTGAATTTTTTTTCTACCATGATCAAGCATTACTCATGTAATTAAAAATAGCAATAAAAGCAGAGAGAAGGGCAGCCTGGAGGCACTAGATCAGGTCGATTCCTGGTCTAGAAATAAACCAGTTCTGGCTCTTGGGCTGGAGGGAGAGGAAAGAAGCAGGCAGGGGAGGCAGGAGGCGCCATTGCAGGCCCAGTCCCCTGCCCCCGGGGCTCCATGACCGACACCTACCATCGGTGCAGGCGGCTTCAGGAGCTGGGCCCGGGCCACTGCAGGGCTCGGCCGCCTGCATGGAGCGGGGGGCCCGTGGCCCGGCCTGGGAGCGGGCGTTCTCCTCGCGCACCGGGGAAGGCGTCCACCGGGGAATGTGCGAGACTCCCTGGGAAATGAGCTCGTTCAGGTAATGCTCGATCACCTCCTTCCCCTGCAAGCCAGAGAAGCCAGACACGTCAGGACAGGTGCAGCCCCCAGACGCGTCCCGCCTGGGAGTCCCCGAGCCCACGGCCACTACAGAAATGCGGCCAGTCCCGCGGAGATGGGCCGAGAGTGCCAGATTCTCCCAGGATCCAAGACAAAGACTCTCCAAACAAAGACAAAAACAGCCCACAAATGAATTTGATGCCGACACTGCGTTGATAGAACACAGTATTCAACTTCATTTCACCGGTTCCGCCACCTACAAAGACTCAGTGGCGGGTCTGAGATCTTTAAACCAAGCTGCAACAATTGTAAGCAGCTAAAGCCCTGCAGAACGTCCCTCCTCTGTCTAGAGAGCTCACCACACACGCCCCCAACAGCAGGGAGCATGGAGACGATGACCGTGGTGCCCCTGTTACAGGGCGGGTGCTGCCCCCCTGCCCCGCCAATCTCACGCGACCTGATCAGAACACCCATTCTATGGATGAGGAGACTGAGGCTAGGGAAGGCTAAGCAGCTCGCCCTGTGTCACCTGGGCTCAGGTGGCAGAGCCGGGTATGAACCAGGGTTGGCGTGCCCTCCCCCAGGGCCCTGCAGAGCTACCTCACCCTCTTGATATTGGCTGTGTACTGCTTCATGGCGATCTTCTCCAAGGCACTTTCGAAGCCAAAGAAGGAGCGGATGTCCAGCGAGGCAGACTGCTCAAAGCAAGTCCACTCTTCGTTCTCGGGGTGGACCTGAAAACCAGGGAGGGGTAGCGCCAGGGTCTCAGCGTGAGGGAGGCCGGGCCCTTCCCCGGGCTCTCCTGGTGAGTTGGGCCAGCCAGAGCACGAGACAGCTTGTCCCCCGAGGGGTTGTGGGGAGCCCCCTCCCAGAGAACATGTCTAAGGTATAAGAGAACAGAGAGCCCCCCATGAGGGGCCATTGAAGGGGGGTCTGATATCTGCGCTTCTGTCCCCTAAAATCATGTGACTATAACGATACAGCTCCGTGAGGGCACCAGGCAGGCACACTGGCCCCCACTGGGGGTCCAGCACTTGTCAGGGTGCCTGGCACACAGGGGTGCTCTATTAGCATGCACTGAAGACTAACTCTGATCATTCATTATTCCAAAGGGAAGCTGTACAGGACAGTGTGTGCGGCGCTCGGCAAAGGCTTTGGACACACAGCTTCATGTAATTTCCTGCAACCTATGGCAGGTAGGCCCACTGGCCCCTTCTTACAGATGAAGAAACTGAGGCACAGTCTCTTTTTTTTTTTTTTTGTGGGACCCTTGCTGGCGGCCGGGGAGCAAACTGGAGCTGCAGAGGCTGTGGGCAGCCTCGCAGCCCAGCGCTCAACCGCTGCGCCACCAGGGGAGGCCCTGAGGCACAGTCTCTTGAAGGAAGGAAAAGAGAGCAGGGTCGAGGCAGGATTGCCAGGTTTAGCCACTGAAGCACAGGACACGAGTCCCATTTGGATTTGAGATACACAATGAGCAACAATTAGATTGTGATGTGCGGATACACATTCCATTGTTTGTCTGAACTGCAGCTGTCTCCTGCTTCTCTGTCTTATCTGATGATGCCAGGGAGGGAGGCGGTTGAAGGCAGGCTGGGGTGAGGCGCCTGGGGGGGGCCTAGGGGCGCACCGTGTAGCTACAGTTCTCCTTGACCACCACGCGGTTGGCGAAGGTCTCATTGTGGGCTTCGATGAGGAGCGTCCGCTCCTTCCAGTTCAGCACGTTTCTCTGCACGAAGACCACATGCTCCACTCCCGCGATCTGCAAGAGAAGGGGCAGCTGCGGCTGCAGGTGGGTGCGGCTGAGGGAGCAAACCCTGAGGGCCAGCTCCGTCACCCCCACACCCGGGCGCCCCCACTGCCACGCCTGCTCCAGCCCAGATCTCTGGAATCCCCGCCCCTGGCCCCATGCGTGCCCACGAGCCCAGGTTGAGACCCCTAGACCCCGTGTCCCCATTCCCTGGCCTCTACTCTGCACCTACCACCACCCCAGACGCAGCTCCTGACCCGACTTGTGCCAGTCTACCATCCCCGGGGCAGCTCCCCGGACCCACACCCCTCCCAAACCCCAGAATCTCCCAGTCCCCAAGGTACTAGGGACTTGATGCTCAGACTCCCCCAGCCCCACTCCACCCCACCAGCCTGCCCCATCCTGCCCATCCGCCAGGTGGGTCAGCAGACTCCGCCGCCCCCACACACACTCACAGTCGCTGGCCCCACCGCAAGCCCACACACCTGTCCGGCAGGATCGCGGGGCCCTGTCCACCCCCTTCCTCCCTGCGACCCCCCCAGGACCCCCTCCCAGCCCTCATCACCCCCACACCAGGCTCTGGCCTCCGAGGCCTCTTCCCCGATGGACCTGGAGTCCTGCACGCCTCCCGCCGCCGCCCCCGCCCAGCCCCTGCAGCGCGGCCCCCGCCCGGCCCACCTTGCCCGGCCCACCTTGCCCGGCCCACCTTGCCCGGCCCACCTTGCCCGGCCCACCTTGCGCAGCAGCCGCGGGGCCTCCACGCGCAGCCGGCAGCTCCGCTCCACCTCGTGCACCGCCCCGTCGGCGCTGCGGGCCTCGCGCAGGACGTCGCTGCCCAGGAAGACCGGGATCTGCGGGCAGGTGGGGAAGCGCTTCTCGTAGGCCTGGGGCAGAGGCGGGAGGGGCGCTGCGGCGGCCAGGGACCCCGGGCTCCGGGGAGGGCGTGGCCGCAGGAAGGCTCCCTGCTGCCCCCCCAGCCCCTCGGAGGACCCCGCATCCCAGGTTGGCCTCGGAAGGAAGAGCGCGCTTCCCTGGGGCCCCTTAAAAGAAGGCACCTTTGGGGGGGGGAGAATTTAACAAAATCCAACATCACGAGGGAAAACGAGGCCTAGAAGGGTCCCCTCCACCTGATGGGGGCTCCGCAGACACACCCCTTATCCCCCCACGCCGTGGGACAAGCGGCGGGCCGCACGCCCCGGGGTCTCTCCGGGCCAGGAGCCCCGAGGCCGCGCGGGGGGGGGGGGCGCGTGGTTGGAGGCTGCGCCCCCAGGTGCGCTGCGGCGGGCGGGGCGCAGGGGGAGGCCGGGGTGCGCGAGGCTGCCGCGCCTGTCACAGCCCACGTGGCCCCGCAAGGGGATCAAGGCGAGCTCCGAAAATAGTGCGGGCTTGTGAGGACACACACCTCCCCCTCCCGTCGGCGGGGAGGCGCCACCCATCCGGCTGGCGGGCGGGGGTGGGGCGCCCTTGGTGTCACCCCAGGCCCTGCAGGGCCAGCCCAGAGGATCCCCCGGGGCCGGAGGACGGCCGCTCTCCAGCGTCTGTGGACGCGGGGCCTGCCCCGTGGGAGCCCCTGGGGTCTGGGTCCCACCCCTGCGGGGGAAGAGGGGGGCTTGAACCCTCTTTCCAAAGACATTTCTCCACGCGGAAGGAGCTGCCCCGCAGGGGGGCGGAGCCGAGGTCAGGCCCTCAGGTCTCAGGTCCCAAGCCCTGCGCCAGCCGCTCCCCCAGAGGGCACCCCGCTTGGTGGTCTGGAAGGGTGCAGACATAGTGCAGGGTGGTCCCTGCCACAGGGCTTGTGCGTCCAGGTCCCAGGACCCCTGGTTCCTACTCTGCTTCTGGACTCCCCCCCCAAACCCGCTGGTCCCTCTTCTTGGGACACCCCCTCCCGCCACCTGCAAGGCTGCCTCCTTCCCTCCTCTCTGCCCTTCTAGCTCTGTCCTTCATGGCACTTACACGCCTTTGAGCCATGAACTTGTTTGCCTGTGGCATTGGAGGGAGGCCTGGGCTCCGAAGCAGGGCTGCACAGACCCCAAAGCTGTGCCCGCTCCGCTCTCGACACATTCTGGGGACTAATAAGAAAACGACAACCAACAGAGACACTTGCCAGTGGCCCGAACAGCCCAAGGAAGGGTCCGGGAGGGCGTGACAGCCATGGACTCGAACACGCGGGGAGCCCAGGCTGCCAAGCGCCCGGGGTGACTTCCCGTCGTGACAGACCTTGCATCAGAGGAGCCCCATCTGGAGCCCCAGATAACAGGGCTCCGGCTGAGCCTGCCCTGTGGTCACAGGCAGAACATGGCTGCCTTCAAGCAGCCCCAGCTCCAGCGACAGAGCCCCCCAGTCTCTGGGGTCAGGGCTGAGGCTCCATCTGGAAGGCGGGGTCCCCCGAATCAGGAGCCCCTCCCAGGGCCCATTCTCCAGGGTCGGAGGATTGTCCACGGAGACGCCCTCGGGTTGTGGGGGCTTGAGTCGTCACTGCGGTCACTGGCGTTGACGGAGGGCGGCCCATCTGTGCCCTCGTTTCCCCAATTTTACGGAGGAGCAGGTTGAGGCTCGGGAAGGCAGAGCGGCTTGCACGGGATCACACAGCCGCTAAATGGCAGGGCGGGCACATGGGGCTGTCTGCCTGAGACCCAAACCCAGAGCTGCCCTCGGAGACATTGGCCACGTCACGAGTACCGGTGCTTTGCAAAGGCTGAGTCTCGCTGCCCGGAAACACGCCTCAGGCCCCCACCACAAGCACGGCACCGGCCCTCCCAGCGTGGGCCAGGTCACGGGGCCTGCCTCGGGTCCCCTGCTGCCACTCCTGTCCCCACAAATCAGGCCGGAGTGTCTCGCTGCTGCACAAACACACACTTGGGCACCTCAGGGACACAGGATGGCAGAGGATTTGGTTACAGCTCTTCTGCCAGGAGGCCACACTGGAAAGGACAGCTGGCCCCGGGGGAGAGCCCACTTGTGCAGGCTGCAGCAGGCAAAGGCCGTAGAAACGTCCATGGACTGCCTCTGAGGGCCCCCCAGGCTGCAAAAATCCACATGGATGCACTCAGCATGCAGCCACATGGGCCTGCAGCCACACAACCCTGGCTTCCTCGCCAGACCTGCCCAGCTCCAGGCTCGGTTACCCCGGCAGCAATTACAGACTCTTCCAAGGAGCAATCCGCTGGGCCTCTTTCCTTCCTTCATGCGCCCCAACTGCAGAAGCCAGAGGAAGTCATGCCCCCCAAGCTGAGGGGAGTCACCCCTGAGTTCCTAGTGCTTTTCAAAATGTCTAGCACCTAGTTGACCTAGGCAGACACTTCTGACAAATGAGCGGGGGTCAGCTTAGCACAGCCCTTCAAGGCACGTGCTCCGGGCCTGGGTTTGAATCTCTGCCCAGCCTCCTCCCAGCTGTGTGACCTTGAATGAGTCATCAAGTTCCTTAATTCATTCATCTGTGAAAAGGAGAATAGGAAAAGGGGCGACCTGCCTGCGGTGTCGGGGAATAAAGGCGTCCTTTTCTGTGAAGTGCTTAGAACAGTGCCTGGCACATGGTGCGCGCCACATAAGCTCTTGTTAAATAAATTTAAATTGTAAAAAAGAATGAGATTCAATAAAGTACAGAAAAGCTATTTCTGCTAATCACTTGACAGCTGCTCCCTCAGCCCCTCCTTCCTTCCTTCCTGCTCTTCCTCATGCAAATTCAAGGAAGCTGGAACCCAATACTGCCGGCCCCAGCACTAGCGTGGAGAGGTGCCACCGCACACAAGCACTCTGGCCCCGCGCCTACCCTTCCGTTTCCATGCTGCATGCGGGACTCGGGACTCTGACTCCCGGGGGACCAGCACCCAAGGTGCACCCTCCCTGATTACTCTCTGGAGCCTTCCTCGTTCACCCCCTACAATCTTGGGAGACCCCAGGCAGATAGCTATGAATTCCCTAACTCCCCCAACTTCCCTTTTTTTTTTGTGGGACCCTCACCGGACTGCCAGGGAACAAACCAGCACTGCAGAGGCTGTGGGCAGCCTCACGCTCAACCACTGCACCACCAGGGGAGGCCCCCAACTTCCTTTTCAATGAAGACAAATCTCAACCATAAAATGTTCCATTTTAGAGTATACGATTCAGTGATTTTAGTGCATTCGCCAAGTTGTGCAACCACACATCTAATTCCAGAACATTTTATCACCCCAAAGAGAAACCCGTGCTCATTCTCAGTCACTCCTCATTCTCCCCTCTCCAGCCTTAGGCAACCACTGATCCACCTTCTGTCACTATGGATTTTGCTCTTTCTTGAAATTCCATAGAGATGGAATCACACACCATCTGGCCTCTCTCGCTCAGCATCATAATTTGCCAGGTTCAGCCAGGTTGTAACAGGTGTCAGTGCTTCGCTCCTTTTCCTGGCTGAATAGTATTCCACTGAGTTGGTCTCCCAACTGGTGGTAGAGTTACTCAAACAGTGTTTGCTGAATGAGCCAGCAAACACCCATGGCAGAGAGTCACCCCAGCTGAAGAAGAGACACAGGCATGATGGATCCAGGGCAACACTTTTCCAGAAGCTTCCAGACAGCTGCATACAGTCCATGAAAACAGTATACCCAGCTGTCCCTGCAGCTGAAGACCTGCTGCTCTTCTAGCCAAAGCCAGCTCAGGAAACAGAAAGGACAGAGACGGAGGCAGAGGCCCTGCAGCCGGGGCACCAGGACACAGCGAGAGTGCCAGGGTGTGCGGCCGAGACAACACACTCGGCATCGATGCCGCCCCAGCCGCGCGGGCAGCTGGGCGACCTCAACTCAAGTCTCTGAGGCTCAGTTTCCTCAGGAAAAAAAAGGAGACAATGAGGGGTCCCTGCTTCTAAGGGCTGCTATAGAGGTTACCAGGAGATAATCTGGACAGCATCAGCATAGTCACACGCCACATAGGACATCTCTCTTAATGAGCAAGAGTGAACCAACAGGGACTCGAGTAGATGTTTGTCCATGAAGGTTTACAGCAGTGTTATCACAACCAAAGGGTGGAACCAACCCAGGTGTCCACTGACAGCTGAATCGGATGGGTGAAAAGCAGCTCATCCATACAGTGGAATATTATTCAGCCAGAAAAAAGGAATGGAGTTGGATGCCCATCACAACATGAGTGAACCTGGGGGACAATGTGCTCAGTGAAAGAAGCCAGACATCAAAAGACAAATGCTGTCTGATTCCGCTGATGTGAGGGCCTTCGAGGAGTCAAATTCACAGACAGTAGATGGTGGGTGGGGCAGGGGGCCGGCAGAGTTAGTGTTTAGCACAGTTTCAGTTTGGGAAGAAGAAAGACTTCTGGAGAAGGATGGTGGTGATGGTTGTATAACACTGAGAGTATACTTAACGCCACTGATCTGTACACGTAAAAAGAGCGAAAATGGTTGGGCTTCGTTGGTAGCCCTCGGGTTCAGTCTCAGCGCTATCACCCCTGTGGCCTGAGTTCGATCCCCGGCCAGGGAGCTACCCACATGGCGCAGCAGACCTCTCCCGTCTCCCCGCTGCTCCCCTCAGCAGTGTGTTTCAGTCAGATCTGCCTGTTCTGCCCCCCACTCTGTCTCTGGTGAATCCTCTCACCGCACCCCCAACCTCTGGCCTGCACCCCAGTTCTTCTACGCAAAAATAAATAAAATCTTCAAAAAGAAAAAAGAGTGAAAATGGTAACTTTTGTGTTATCTACATTTTAGTATAATAAGAAAACTAATAAGCCATCCTGTCGGCGGTTTCAGTCCCGCCAGAAGCACTGGCCACGTGGACTTTGGACTAGTGTTGTATCTGTGTTTATTTGTTTCCAGTCAGCGCCGCTGTCTCTATGCCCGCTTTCTTCCCCACCCGACTCCCCAGTGCCCGCGCCCACACCTGGGACACGCAGACACCAGCCA